CACCTCTATGCACATAAAATAGAAAATCCAGAAGAAATTGATAAATTCCTGGACACATACACCCTCCCCAGACTGAACCAGGAAAAAAATCGAAATTCTGAATAGAGCAATAATGAGTTCTGAAACTGAGACAGTAATAAATAGCCTAACAACAACAACAACAACAACAACAAAAAGCCCAGGACCAGATGGATTCACAGCTGAATTCTACCAGGGGTAAAAAGAAAAGCTGATACCAGTCAGGCACAGTGGCTCACACCTGTAATCCTAACAGTTTTGGAGGCTGAGGCAGGTCTCTACTAAAAATACAAAAACTAGCCAGGCATGGTGATGTAAGCCTGTAATCCCAGATACTCAGGGGGCTGAGGCAGGAGAATCACTTGAATCTGGGAGGCAGGGGTTGCAGTGAGCCGAAATCACACCACTGCATTCCAGCCTGGGTGACAGAATGAGACTCCATCTCAATACAAAAAAAAAAAAAAAAGGAAAAGGAAAAGGAAAAAAAGAAAAGCTGGTACCATTTCTACTGAAACTATTCCAAAAAACTGAAAAGGAGGGACTCCTCCCTAACTCATTTTATGAAGCCAGCATCATCCTGATACCAAAACCTGGCAGAGATACAACAAAAAAAGGAAACTTCAGACCAATAACCCTGATGAACATTGATGCAAAAGTCCTCAATAAAATACTGGCAAACCAAATCCAGGAGCATATCAAAAAGCTTATCCACCATGATCAAGTTGGCTTCATCCCCAGGATGCAACATTGGTTCAACATACGCAAATCAATAAATGTGATTCATCACATAAATAGAGCTAAAGACAAAAACCACATGATTATCTCAATAAACACAGAAAAGGCCTTCAATAAAATTCAACATCCCTTCATGTTAAAAACGCTCAATGAACTAGATATTGAAGGAACATACCTCAAAATAGTAAGGCCATGTATGACAAACCCACAGCCAATATCATACTGAATGGGCAAAAGCTGGAAGCATTCCCCCTTGAAAACCAGCACAAGAAAAAGGATACCCTCTCTCATCACTCCTTATTCAATGTAGTATTGGAAGTTCTGGCCAGGGCAATCAGGCAAGAGAAAGAAATAAAGCACATTCAAACAGGAAGACAGGAAGTCAAATTATCTTTGTTTGCAGATGACATAATCCTAGATATAGAAAACCCCATTGTCTTAGCCCAAAAGCATCTTAACCTGATAAACAACTTCAGCAAACTCTCAGGATACAAAATCTGAATGCAAAAATTGCTAGCATTCCCATATATTCCAAAAACAGGCAAGCAGACAGCCAAATCATAAATGAACTCCCATTCACAATTGACACAAAAAGAATAAAATACCTAGGAATACAGCTAACAAGTAATGGGCTTCTTCAAGGAGAACCACAAACCACTGCTCAAGGAAATCACAGAAGATACAAAAAAAGAAATGGAAAAACATTCCATGCTTATGGATAGGAAGAATCAATGTCATGCAAATGGCCATACTACCCAAAGTAATTTATAGATTCAATGCTATTCTCATTAAACTACCATTGACATTCTTCATAGAATTAGAAAATCTATTTTAAAATTCATATGGAACCAAAAAAAAAAGAGCCTGAACAGCCAAGACAATCCTAAGCAAAAAGAACAAAGCTAGAGGCATCATGCTACCCAACTTCAAGCTATACTTCAAGGCTACAATAACCAAAACAGCACGGTACTGGTATGAGAACAGACACATAGAAAAATGGAACAGAATAGAGAGAACTCAGAAATAAGACTGCACATCTACAACCATCTGATCTTCAGCAAACCTGACAAAAACGAGCAATGAGAAAAGGATTCCCTAATTAACAAATGGTGCTGAAAAAATTGGCTAGCCATATGCAGAAAATTGAAACTGGACCCCTTCCTTATACCTCATACAAGAATTAACTCAAAATGGATTAAAGACTTAAATGTAAAACCCAAAGCTATAAAAACCCTAGAAGAAAATCTAGGCAATACCATTCAGGACATAAGCATGGGCGAAGATTTCAGGATGAAAACACCAAAGCAATTGTAACAAAAGCAAAAATTGACAAACGGGATCTAATTAAATTACAGAGCTTCTGCACAGCAAAAGAAACTATCATCAGAGTGAACAGACAACCTACAGAAATGGAGGACATTTTTGCAATCTATCCATCTAACAAAGGTCTAGTATCCTGAGTCTACAAGGAACTTAAACAAATTTATAAGAAAAAACAAACAATCCCATTAAAAAGTGGGCAAAGGACACGAACAGGCACTTCTCAAAAGAAGACATATATGTGGCCAACAAACATATGAAACAAGGCTCAACATCACTGATCATTAGAGAAATGAAAATCAAAACCACAATGAGATACCATCTCATGCCAGTCAGAATGGTGATTATTAAAAAGTTAAAAACAAAACAAAAAAAAAACCCAGATGCTGGAGAGGTTGCAGAGAAAAAGGAACACTTTTACACTGTTGGTGGGAGTGTAAATTAGTTCAACCATTGTGGAAAACAGTGTGGAGATTCCTCAAAGATCTAGAGGCAGAAATACCATCTAACCCAATAATCCCATTACTGGGTATATACCCAAAGGAATATAAATCATTCTGTTATAAAGACACATGCATGCATATGTTCATTGCAACACTATTCACAATAGCAAAGACATGGAATCAATCCAAATGCCCATCAATGATAGACTGGATAAAGAAAATGTTATATATATATATATACACACACACATATATACACACACACACACATATATATAGTGTATATATATATGTGTGTGTGTATACATATATACACACACACCATGGAATTCTATGCAGCCATAAAAAGAAATGAGATCATGTCCTTTGTAGGGATATGGATGGAGTTGGAAGCAGTTATCCTCAGCAAGCTAAGACAGGAGCAGAAAACCAAACACCGCATTTTCTCACTTATAAGTGGTAGCTGAATGATGAGAACACATGGACACACAAGGGGAACAACACACATTGGAGCACATCATGGGGGTGGTAGGGAGAGGGAGAACATCAGGAAGAATACCTGGTGAATGCTGGGCTTAATACCTAGGTGTAGGGATGATCTGTGCAGCAAATCACCATGGCACATGTTTATGTATGTAACAAACCTGCACATCCTGCACATGTACCACTGAACTTAAAATAAAAGTTGAAGTTTTTTTTAAAGACAGCATTTACAATAATGTTAAAAATGTAAATAAGATTGTAATACATGCATTAGAAATATCATAAACTTTTTTTTTTCTTTTGAGACGGAGTCTTGCTCTGTCGCCCAGGTTGGATGGAGTACAGTGGCGCTATCTCGGCTCACTACAACCTCCGCCTCCCGGGTTCACGCCATTCTCCTGCCTCAGCCTCCAGAGTAGCTGGGATTACAGGTATGCGCCACCATGCCTGACTAATTTTTTTTTGTATTTTCAGTAGAGACGGGGTTTCACCATGTTAGCTAGGAGGGTCTCGATCTCCTGACCTCGTGATCCACCTGCCTCGGCCTCCCAAAGTTCTGGGATTACAGGCATGAGCCACGGCACCAGGCCAAACCTTTCTTTAAAATATTAATGAAGATCTAAATAGATGGAAATATATATATATATATATATATATATATATCAAAGACAATATTATAATGATATGATTCTTTTCAAGTTGATCTGTAGATCCAATGCAATTCAAATGAATATCTGAAATAGGTCTTTTGTTTTTGGGTTTTTTTTTTTTTTGAGTCAGAGTCTTGGTCTGTCACCCAGGCTGGAGTGCAATAGCAGTCTCAGCTCACTACAACCTCTGCCTCCCGTTTCAAGCGATTCTCATGCCTCAGCCTCCCAAGGAGCTGGGATTACAGGAACTCGCCACCATAACCAGCTAATTTTTGTATTTTTAGTAGAGACAGGGTTTTGCCATGTTGACCAGGCTGGTCTCCAACTCCTGGCCTCATGTGATCCACCCACCTCAGCCTCCCAAAGTGCTGGGATTACATGCATGAGCCACTGCACCTGGCCCAAAACAGGTCTTTTGAATAACTTGACAAACTAACTAAAATTTATATGAAAACACAAAATCCTAAGATAAACAAAGTTCAAGAGATTAAGTGTGGCTTTGCAGTGGGGGTATACAGTGGAGTGAAATAAAGAGCTCAGAAGCAATCCCATGTAATTAAGCAAAATTATTTTGCAGTTGAATAGAAGAGGAACTCGTTAATAAACGGGTCTGGGATCACTGAAAAATGAAAAAGGATCCTTATGTTATACCTTTACCAAAAAATCAACATCAGGTGGTTTTAGGGTGTAAATGTAAGCCAAAATTTCAAAACTCTTAGGAGAAAACAGATCCAAGATGTCCTCATGTTCCTAGATAGCATAGTGTAGTGTAACTAAGAACAAAAACTCTGAAGCCAAATTCAAATCTTGTCTCTACCGCATAATAAATGAGTGACCTTGTACATGTAACCTAATCTCTGTTTCCATTTCATCTATAAATGATGGTAATAATTGTACCTACTTCATAGGGTATATTAAGTATATATAAATTACTTAAAAATAGCACCTGGAATTAAGTAGTACTCTAGGTTATAACCAACCCTGTTACTATTATTATAGTGCTTACTGCACTGTTTCTCTTGTGCCATGATTAGTTTCTTCTGTGCATAAAAGGCCAAAAAGAGAAAGGAAGAAGGCCAAAAAGAGAAAGGAAGAAATCCTTTTTTAATTCCTTGCTCTGATGATTCTACCCTTCATGATTAAATATATGCAGAAGCTCTGATCCTTAAGTTTCTATTGCTTCTAGATGAACATGGGACTCGCTATCAAAGGTCTAATCAGTTTGGGGCCTTCAGCTTCATGGCTGGGTACCCAAGCACTCACTGTTCAACTCAACACCTAGTAATGTCCAGTCCTGGCCCTTGGGGTAGGTGGGCTCAGCCGTCTCAAGTATCAAGCCCAAAATATAACATCAGGTAATACCACAACTATCCTGCCTGCTGCTTGCTGCACCATGAAGTCTGCCAAGCTGGGATTTCTTCTAAGGTTCTTCATCTTCTGCTCATTGAATACCCTATTATTGGGTGGTGTTAATAAAATTGCTGAGAAGATATGTGGAGACCTCAAAGGTATGAAGCTAAGGCAGAAAATAAATCCAAAGGTCAATTATGAGTGAGGGAGAAGGTATTGGGAGAAAACTGTGTTATCTAGGTAGTCCAGGAAGGTCTTCCTTTCATGGCAATACCCATAGACACTTAGTCCCTTGACTCAATACCCATAGACACTTAACCCTTTGACTCAATACCCGTAGACACTTAATCCCTTAGCTCAGGGCATTACTTACACTAGGGGTCCTTTGGATGTTTGATGAGAAAAAACAGAAATGACACAAAGTCCTTTCCAGTCTTTTACAGGAGGTCCAAAGGACTGGAAGGATTTTGAATCAGAGGTTTTGTGACAAATTTCAAAGATCCCAGACCATTGAAGAGTATGTATTGGGATGAGAGAGAAAGGGGGTGGGAGACAGAGCATATTAAGACATTTTCAGTATCTGGGCTATGGACATATCTAGAACTCTCGGACAGATGATTCCTGTTCAGAGGAGCTCACAATGTAAATGTGAGAGGCAATGAGACTTTCTTCTGTAGTGTGTGCAGGCTCAGCGCTTCCAGCGGATAAGAAAGTAGCACAGTTTATACCATAAGTCAGACATTCCAAGTTCTGGTCCTGTTCACTTAGCAGATGTGTGCCCTTGGACAAGTTACTCAACCACTTATTCTCTTAGTCTCAGTTTCCCCGTGTGTAAAATGAAGACCAGAAAAGTGCCTGCTGCAGAGGGTATTTGTGAGTATGAAATAAGATTATGCATATAACTTTACCAGAGAGTAAATTCCAGGCTGGCTGCTTGAGTAAGGTGGGTAACAATTGCTGGATTGTCAATGCAACCATGATTGTGGCTGTTCCAACCACTTACTACCCAACTCTTAACAATAAAAACAGAGGGTTTGCCTCTGGGAAGGCAAGAAAGGAGAAGATGACAGGGTATGAGAATGAAAGAGCATCACCCCAAGGTTATGCATTTTAGCATTTTAGTATGCATCCTGCTTTGAGGATAGCAGCAGGCACGGTTACCTAAATTTTGAAGTATAGGTAGTGTAGTGAATGTATGAAAACTGGGGAGGAGGCACTCTGAATTGCACGTCCAATGTGGGCAATTAAAAGGAAAGGAAGTTGATGTGGGGAAGCAGGAGGATACCGTACTTTAATAAACTGTAAGATATGAAATGTAGGGAACCTCATCGCCCTGCACAAGCTAGTGGTGGAACCTCCTTTTTCACTGATCACTACTTCTCCTTTTCCAATACACTGCTCATGACAACAACATGAAATTGTAACCAATTTGCATTGTGCAAGGGCAACTTTTCCAAGTAACTAATTCCAAAAGAAAACCAGATGTCTTTCAGAGTCCTTGAATATGAGAATAGTTCCAGGCTAAAGGTAGGAATTTTTAAGGGCCCATAAAGACAAGTTCTCCTGCTGGGTCCTAACCAATTCCCGCTAACTCAATGGGAACCTCTCATGCAGATCCCTGCAAATTGGACATGAATGTTGGAAGCTGCTATGAAGTTCACTTTAGATATTTCTACAACAGAACCTCCAAAAGATGTGAATCTTTTGTCTTCTCTGGCTGTGATGGCAACCTTAACAACTTCAAGCTTAAATTAGAATGTGATGTAACCTGTGTTACAAAATACAAACCACCGGAAGGAACCTAATCCTGTCCTTGGTCCTTGGGGTGAGTAAAAGAAGAGGTTTTGACATCCTAAGATAGGGAAAATTTATCAGGGGCTAACCTTGCTTGGAGTGGGAAGAGGGAGGATTGCTCTAATAAAAAGTTTTAAAAGGCCGGGCATGGTGGCTCATGCCTGTAATCCCAGCACTTTGGGAGGCCGAGGTAGGCGGATCACCTGAGGTTGGGAGATCGAGACCAGCCTGACCAACATGGAGAAATCCCATCTCTACTAAAAATACAAAATTAGCCAGGCATGGTGGTGCATGTCTGTAATCCCAGCTACTCGGGAGGCTGAGGCAGGAGAATCGCTTGAACCCGGGAGGCGGAGGTTGTGGTGAGCCGAGATTGCACCATCCATTGCGCTCCAGCCTGGGCAAAAAGAGCAGAACTCCATCTTAAAAAAAAAAAAAAAAAAAAAAAAAAAAAAAAAAAAAACACATTTGGGTGGGCTGTCAGGATCATTTGCTCGTTTTGCAGTTAGGAAATCAAATGTCCAGAGAGAAAATAATAGCCACCATCTATTGGACAATTACTGTGTGTCAGGCACTGCACTAAGCAATTAACATATATTGATATAATTTAAAATTATATCAAGGTAGACGTATGTCATTATTTTTATTTGACAGATGAAGAAACCAAGTACGGTACAAGTAACCAAGCATCTCGAGGTCACATTATTAAATGGCATAGCAAGGTTTGTAACCAGAGCTGATGGTCACAATGGTCTTGACCATCTTACATGGACAAGGTCACCCAAACCAAATTCTTGCACTCTCATACGTTTGAACTCTCCATAGCAACTTGCTGCTTTATACAACTAAGCTCCCAGCCCATGCTTGACTATTTCCCCATCATTGGAAATAGAAGGTCAATGGTGCCTAACAGGGCTGTGGTTTGGCTAATTCCCAGGAGAACTGGCTGGAGAGTGGCCTTGGGAGTAACTAGAAAGCAGAAATGTTGTTTTGTTTATTTTATATTCCTAGTGGATCTTTGCAGTGCCTGGCACATACTAAGCGATGATTAAGTGTTAAGTGAATGAAAAAGTGAAAGATTAATCAATAAAATAAGGGAAACATTGAGATAGAAGGCATCCTCTGTGCTTTCCCTAGGATAAAAAAATGACCTACATTAATCCAGGGAGATCTTCCAAAACCTGTAACACTGATTTGGGTTTTTCTTTCCTTTGCTTAAACAGGAGATGAGAGGACATGAACTCAGGAAGTTGTCTGCTGCACCATCCGAAATACAGACACAAGAAAATTCAGACCAATTTTGAAATCTTTGTAATATTTCCATAATACTTTAAGCTTCCACCTGTTTGCTATTTTCCTGACCCTAGTTTTGTCTTTCCTGGAAATTAACTGTATGACCATTAGAATGAAAGAGTCTTTGTGTCAGCCCTGGCTCTCTTAATTTCTCTCCACTTGTCTTATCTAGATTTGCAGAGCTGAAATGTCAACTGGTCCCATCCATTGATTTCCCCCTCACTCCTGAGCCATCCCTCACATATGCACACTTAGCTTACTTTATCCTAAACTGTTTCAGGTTTGACAAGCCCAATCTGTACAGGTTTGCATGACCTCCCCTGTCAAATTGAACTGGTTAGTGGGACCAAAGTACCAAACCTATACTCCCTTTTGATCTTGAAATCAAACCTAGCAGTGAACTGCACACTTATGTGAAATGTCCCTGTACTCATAACAAATTTTTCTTTGTCATGTTTCCTGATTCAAGTCCCTCAATTAGTTTAATTACCTCCCAACCTGGTCCCTGTTTAGGAATAATTATATGGACCTCTGTCATTGCTATTTGACTTGATTATTGTCAGTCCTTCTGGAAGAGAATCCTCAACTTCAGTCCAGTGACTGTGTTTCAGCTACCAAAAAATGATTATCCAAACACAGGTTCCCAAATCTTCTGCATATAATGCTACAGGGTTTGGCATGGCCATGATCAGCCTAGCTGTAAGATTTACAGGTTGCCCACTTCACCTCTGAATTTTTTCATCCAAACTGAACCTGCACTGAAGTAGGAAAACCTATCCTGCCACCTGTTATTGCCCTCTGCACACCTACCATGTCCATCTTATAGACAAAGCCAATCTCTCACCTGTGAATCACAGCCTGGAACAGCGGTAGCTAGGGCCAACATTGTAAACCAGCGAGACCATAACTAGACACACAAGCCTGATCTCTGCTCCATCTTAAGACTAGGAAGATCAATATCCTAAATTAAGAAGTTTTTCTGCAAAAATTTTGGTAACTACAAGATCATAGCCTCGACCAAACAGGGTTTACTCTGAGCAGGTAAAGTGCTAATAACCCAGTTGATTCTAGTGTATTTCAACTTCAATGAAGATCCTAAAATTACAGATCATTCTTGAGCCCCAGACAGCTGCAAGACCCTAAAATAATAGAGATGAGACTAATCCAATTAGTCCACATACATAGACGTTCTGAGATTTTCCTGTTATGAATCATGAAACTGGGTGTCCCAGAACCAGACAGTCTTTCAGGAACAAGATAGCATATTTCGGGAGTCTGTTTGCTTCCTACTTCAGCCAACTCCTTGAAAAGTCAGAGAAGTAAACAGGGGTGTACAGATATGAATAAAGTCAAGACTAAGCATCCTCTGAGGAAAGAAGGCAATTGTATCCTGGTGAGAAAAGGAAATAGATGCCTGTACAGATTGCTGAGCATCAAAAGTGAGAAAATATGTTGAGTTAGAGCTTTTGAGGCTTAAGTGAGAAAATATGTTGAGTTAGAGCTTTTGAGGCTTTTGAGTTGTGTTGTTCTTCCCGCTACAAAGATCTGGATCAGTCATTGCCTGCTCTCTTGCCAAATCACTAACAGCCACAAAATACCACAGAGGTGTTTGAGATAACATCATGGTCGTTCCAGAGTCCAGCTAGAGAAGTATAAAAGCATAAAAGAAGTGGGAAGTACAAAAACAGGTGCAACTGACCTAGCCAGACACAGAGTTTACTGTTTTCTCTTTCTCCTATATACACTAAATCCCCTTAGTGTATTTAGTGTATATAGGAGTGTGACTTAGTGTATATAGGAGTGTGACTAAAACTAAGAGGAAGAAAGGTTCACAGAAAATACATCTAGGACAGAAGTGTAGATATTTTCTCTGGTTGGAGGTGGGGGGAGGAAGATAGAGAAATAATGTCATTTAGGAAGAAGCAAATGAAGTAAGGAAGCCCAGGCTGTATCACTGTAAAGTCTCTTCTCTGGAATTATCTAATACCACCACCACCACCCCCATTGAATCCACCAAGAGCAGCACAAGTTAAAAGAACTGGGCTGGCCGGGCGCGGTGGCTCAAGCCTGTAATCCCAGCACTTTGGGAGGCCTAGGCAGGCGGATCACAAGGTCAGGAGATCGAGACCATCCTGGCTAACACGGTGAAACCCCGTCTCTACTAAAAAGTACAAAAAACTAGCCAGGCAAGGTGGCGGGCGCCTGTAGTCCCAGCTACTGGGGAGGCTGAGGCAGGAGAATGGCATAAACCCAGGAGGCGGAGCTTGCAGTGAGCTGAGATCCGGCCACTGCACTCCAGCTTGGGTGACAGAGTGAGACTCCATCTCAAAAAAAAAAAAAAAAAAAAAAAAAAAAGAACTGGGCTTTGGGGAGCTAAGCTATTAAAGTGCAAAAGCATAAGGAGGACAGGCTCAGTGGTTCAAGCCTGGATTCCTAGCACAAACCACTGCTCAAGGAAATCAGACAGGACACAAAAAATGGACAAACATTCCATGCTCATGGATGGAAAGAATCAATATTGTGAAAATGGCCATATTGCCCAGAGTAATTTATAGATTCAATGCTATTCCCATTAAACTACTATTGATGTTCTTCATAAAATTAGAAAAAAAACTATTTTAAAATTCATATGGAACCAAAGAAGAGTCCAAATAGCCAAAGAAATCCTATGCAAAAAGAACAAAGCTGGAGGCATCATGTTACCAGACTTCAAACTATACTACAAGGGTACAATAACCAAAACAGCATGGCACTGGTATAAGAACAGACACATAGAACAATGGAACAGAATAGAGAAATCAGAAATAAGACCACATAACTACAACCATCTGATCTTTGACAAACCTGACCAAAAAAAAAGCAATGAGAGAAGGATTCCCTATTTAATAAATGGTGCTGGGAGAATTGGCTACCCATATGCAGACAATTGACACTGGACTCTTTCCCTACACGTCATACAAGAATTAACTCAAGATGTATTAAAGACTTAAATGTAAAACCCAAAACTATAAAAACCCTAGAAGAAAATCTAGGCAATACCATTCAGGACATAGCCATGGGCAAAGATTTCATGGTGAAATTGCCAAAAGCAATTGCAACCAAAAAAAAAAAAAAAAAAAAATACAAAATTAAAAAAAAAAAAAGCAATTGCAACAAAAGCAAAAATTGACAAATGAGATCTAATTAAACTAAAGAGCTTCTGCACAGCAAAAGAAATTATCATCAGACTGAACAGGCAACTTACAAATATGGAGTACATTTTTGCAATCTATCCATCTGACAAAGGTCTAATATCAGGAATCTACAAATAACTTAAACAAACTTACAAGAAAAGAACAAACAATCCCATTAAAAAGTGGGCAAAGGACATGAACAGATACTTCTCAAAAGAAGATATAGGCCGGGCGCGGTGACTCAAGCCTGTAATCCCAGCACTTTGGGAGGCCGAGACGGGCGGATCACGAGGTCAGGAGATCGAGACCATCCTGGCTAACACAATGAAACCCTGTCTCCACTAAAAATACAAAAAAAATTAGCCGGGCGTGGTGGCGGCACCTGTAGTCCCAGCTACTCGAGAGGCTGAGGCAGGAGAATGGCGGGAACCCGGGAGGCGGAGCTTGCAGTGAGCCGAGATCGCGCCACTGCACTCCAGCCTGGGCGACAGAGCGAGACTCCGCCTCAAAAAAAAAAAAAAAAAAAAAGATATAGGCCGGGCACGGTGGCTCAAGCCTGTAATCCCAGCACTTTGGGAGGCCGAGACGGGCGGATCACGAGGTCAGGAGATCGAGACCAGCCTGGCTAACACAGTGAAACCCTGTCTCTACTAAAAATACAAAAAACTAGCCGGGCGAGGTGGCGGGCGCCTGTAGTCCCAGCTATTTGGGAGGCTGAGGCAGGAGAATGGCGTATACCTGGAAGGCAGAGCTTGTAGTGAGCTGAGATCCGGCCACTGCACTCCAGCCTGGGTGACAGAGCGAGACTCTGTCTCAAAAAAAAAAAAAAAAAAAAAAAGAAGATATATATGCAGCCAACAAACATATGTAAAAAAGCTCAACATCACCAATCATTAGAGAAATGCAAATCAAAACCACAGTGAGATACCATCTCATGCTAGTCGGAATGGTGATGCTGAAGAGGTTGCAGAGAAATAAGAACGCTTTTACACTGTTGGTGGGAATTCAATTAGCTCAACCATTGTGGAAGGCGGTGGCTCACGCCTGTAATCCCAGCACTTTGGGAGACCAAGGTGGGCGGATCAGCTGAGATCAGGAGTTCAAGACCAGCCTGGCCAACATGGTGAAACCCCATCTCTACTAAAAATACAAAAAAAAAATTAGCCAGTCGTGGTGGTGGGTGCTTGTAATCCTAGCTACTTGGGAGGCTGAGGCAGGAGAATTGCTTGAACACAGGCAGCAGAGGTTGAAGTGAGCCAAGATAGCACCATTGCACTCCAGCCTTGGCAACAGAGTGAGACTCTGTCTCAAAAAAAAAAAAAATATATATATATATATACACACACACACACACACACACACACATATATGATTGATATTTAAATTTGTAGACTTTGAGTAAAAGAGATTACCCTTCATGATGCAGGTGGGCCTCATCCAATCAGTTGAAAGCCTTAAGAGGAAACAGACTGAGGTCCCACAGAGGAAGGAGGCATTCTGACTCCAGACTGCCTTTGAACTCAAAACTGCAACATCACCTCTTTCCTGAATCTCCAGCCTGCGAGCATGCCCTGCAAATTTCAGATTTGTCCATCCCTACAATCACACAAGCCAATTCTCTAACATTGGTTTTGTTTCATTGGTTCTGTTCCTCTGGAGTACCCTAATACATAGACTTTAAGACAAAAATTATAACTAGAAGTACATTTTAAAAAAAGAAAAGACAGATTTATTCAGCACATGGTCAGACATTTAGCAATCAACAGCACAGGTGCAACAAAAAAAAAAAATCTACATTAAAACCCTTTGTTGGAATGCTTTATACTTTCCACAGAACAGAGACTAAAAAAACATGTTATTCAATTAGTCACAAATACAGTCCTCGAGTTTTTTGCCCATACACATGAATATTTGTCTAAAGCATGTCTTCTTTGTAGCAGCTAGGCCCTGCCACCACTGTGCTTGGCTACATTCACAGATCTGTTGTAACCTGTGGCTTCCCTGTCACTTCTCTGGCTCTCCTCTCCTGCTAAGCTTTGTTTCCTAGAAGTAATTAAAATCTTCTGCCACGGCCATAGCTACTACTGCTACTGGAACCTCCATGGCCACCTTGGTTTTGTGGTTTGGCAAAGTATTGGCCTCCACCACCATAGGGGTCAGAGCTTCTGCCTCCAAAGTTGCCTCCCTTCATGAATCCAAAATTTGAAGACTGATTGTTGTAATTGCCAAAATCATTGTAGCTTCCACTACCTCCAAAATTGCTTCCGTCATTACCAAATCCATTATAGCCATCCCCATTGCCACCATATCCACCACCACCATGCCTGCCACCAAAGCCACCACAACCACTGAAGTTTCCTCCATGACCAAAGTTGTCATTCCCACTAAAGCCACCTCCAAGACCACCACCAAAGTTTCCAGAACCACTTCAAACTCTTTGGCTAGATGAAGCACTACCCATCTCTTGCTTCAACTGGGCTTTCCTAACTTCACAGTTGTGGCTATTCACAGTATTGTAATTTTTTTTTTTTTTTTTTTTTTGAGATGGAGTCTCACTCTGTCACCTAGGCCGGAGTACAGTGGCCAGCTTCCGTCTCCCAGGTTCCAACGATTCTCCTGCCTCAGCCTCCCAAGTAGCCAGGATTACAGGCACACACCACCATGCCCAGCTAATTTTTGTATTTTTAGTAGAGACAGGGTTTCACCATGTTGGCCAGGTGGGTCTTGAACTCCTGGCCTCAAGTGATCTGCCTGCCTCCACCTCCCAAGGTGCTGGGATTACAGGTGTGAGCCACGGCACCCAGTGAAGCGTGTTTCTAAGAAAAGGGCAAACCATTCTCAAAGAGGCCCCTAATATCTAAAATCAGTTTAGAATCCCTGCCCTAGGTGAATACAGGAAACATTGTCAAAACTAAAAGGAAACTTGTAGGGCATCTTAATCAATCAGCCAAGATGGGTACCAAGGCCCAAAGCCAGGTAGAGGCTTGTGCAAGGTCACAAGCAGAGGTGCAGTTTGAAGCTAGATTCTCCCGCTCTTAAACTAGCGCTGGACAGACCGAGGCCTAGCAAGTTGGCTACGGAGCCTTAGCAGATTCCTGTCCTCACACTGAGCCAGGAGGGGTCGCTGCCCAGGGATACCTACAGCCGTACTCGAGCTGGACAAGGCGCACGCTCTTCGTGGAAGCAAACACATCCAGAAATTAAAATGATTGTAAAGGAATCCTGGGAATATCTGTATGCTAAAAAATTAGATAACTTAGATGAAATGAACAAATTCTTAAAAAGACAACAACTACCAAAACTGACTTAAAATAAATGGGAAATGTGAATAGATCTATAAAGAGTAGACACCAAATCACTAATCAAAAAATATTCCACAAAGGAAAGCCCAAGCTCAGATGATTTCAATGGAGAACTCTACTAAACTTTTAGAGAATTAACTCTAATAATTTACAAACTCTTCCAAAATATAGAAGAGGATGGAATACTTTCCAACTCATTCTGTGAGGCCAGTACTACAGACAAAGATATCATAAAAAAAGAAAACTACAGACCAATAGTCCCTATGAACATAGGCACAAAAATTCTCAAAAACTATTAGTAAAAAGATTCAGCCACATATAAAAAAAAGATTACACACCATAATCAAATCCAATGGAATTTGTCCCAAGAATGCAAGGTTATTCAAGCATGCAGAAACCAATGTAATATACCACTTTAACACAGCAAAGGACATAACCAACATAATCAACTCAATAGACACAGAAAAAAAATTGACAAAAATCTGTCACCCTTTTATGATAAAAACACTCCTCAAATTAAGAATAGAAGGGAACTTCCTCAACCTAAAAAAGCACATTTATGAAAAACCCAGAGATAGCATCAAACTTAATGGGAGAAATTTAAAAGTTTTCCTTTAAGATCAGGAGCAAGACTATTTCCTGGTAAATTTTTTCTCTCCTCTATGTTTGAGTTCTATCCATTTCACATTTCTATTACTGAACGTGTTTATTTCTTCTATGTTTTTTCCAGCCATTCTTGGCAGTTTTGTCTATTTTAATGATATTTTTAAAGTACAGACTTTTAGTTTTATTTGGCAATTTTAGGGTTTCTTTTTTTCTAATTCACTAATTTCAACTACTTTCTTCAATTATCCTCTGTCTACTTTCCCTTTACTTACTTTGCTGTTTTGTTCCAGTTTCTTAGGTTGAAGCCTTAGTTAATTTGCTTTCAGGTATTCACATGTATATATTAAAGCATTGGTAAGAATTTATTTACAACTGTTCATTATAGAGATGTTGATGTCCTGAGCGATAAGTGGTCATGATCCCTAGATGTGGAGGAAAGAAGGCGGGAAGGCTGAGGTTAATCAGTAGGGCTCTGACAAGGCATGGTCTTTCAAGCTGCATGGCTGGGTACCCAAGAACTTACTGTCCTGCTCACAAGGCTGATTCTGGATGCACCAGAACCCTGCCCAGGCTTAAGCCCTGGGAAGATAAAAATCAGAGATATGAATTCAACTTCTCACATGAGAAGGAGAGCCAACCCTTCAGATATAATTTCAGCCAAGTCCAGGATTCTTCTATCTGCTGTCTGCAACACCATGAAGCCTGAATGGGCTCACTTTTCTCTATGGCTCCTCATCTTGTCCATGCTTCTCCACACACCTTCAGGGGACATATTTCCTCTACAACTCAGAAAACAGTTATGTGAAAGTGGACATCTTGGAGGTAAAGAAAAACAGAAAGGGCAGACCAGTGTGACACTGTGAAGGAGAGGGAGGTCTGGGCAGCCTGGGTGATGTTGCTGCCAGTAATTAGAATCAAGTCCCCTTTTTATCTCAAACCATATGGCTCTAGGACATCTGATTCAGAGAATTACATTGAGTTTCCTCTATGGAGTGGAGAAGGAGGAAGACAGAAGGTAGAATCAACTTAAGTTTTATCCATGAGATTTCAGTATAAGAGTAGGGGTTATGAAAATGGGATTGATTTCAGAGGAGTCCACGAAATTCCTTTGTTGGGGTGTGTGTCTGTGCATTAGATGAGTTTTAAGTCTATTCAACACATATGTGTAGAACCGCTACGTTATATTCCACTGATACAGATATGCAGAGGCCATCATTCTCCCATATATGTATAGAGCACTCCCACCCTACTTATTTAAATTAATTTGTTCTTCATTCAAATTCATATGAGCATCTATGAAACACTCAAGGCAAAAGGGGCAGTTCCCAATCATGGATGAGAATTGCAATTCGGTGGCCAGGCGCAGTGGCTCACCCTTGTAATCCCAGCACTTTGGGAGGCCAAGGCAGGTGGATCACCTGAGGTCAGGAGTTCGAGAACAGCCTGGCCAACGTGGCAAAACCCCGTGGGTACTAAAAATACAAAAATTAGCAAGGCGTGGTGGTGCACACCTGTAGTCCCAGCTACTCAGGAGGCTGAGGCACAAGAATCACTTGAACCCGGGCAGCAGAGGTTGCAACGAGAGCCGAGATAGCGCCACTACACTCCCTCCTGGGCGACACAGCGAGGCTCCATCTCAATTAAAAAATAAAAAGAAAAAAGGAATTGCCGTTGGGCTTCAAGAAGACTAACATTAACTCTTTCTCTGTCTCCCACTCGGTTATCATGGCTTCTGCTCTGACCACTTAATCTCCATGGTCTCAGAAAAACCAGGTGAGTCTGGATGAGTAGGCAAAAGTGGGGCTGGATAGGAGAGGAAACAGACTGACGGAGGAAAGGAAGATCTGCAGGAGTGGACATTTTAAACCTGTCCTTCAGGGTAGGTGTAGTGGGTGAGAGGTCTTTTCAGCTTGTGTATTTGTACAGACTCTAGCGGGCGGGGAGGAGAAAGCAAAAGTAAGGGCTCTGAACTGTGTCCTTGAGGAAGCCGATGATTTGTTCACTTCCAGTGACATGGGAAGCATGTGGAGAGTCAGGAAATGGGCTATGTTTACTGGGAAGGATGAAGGAAACCTCAGGTCTTTCTTGTTTTCAGCTCTAAAGTAGTGTAAGTACCTCATTGTCCTCTATTTCTCTCTGCGTCATGGACCCAGTCTGTAGTCTGGAATAATTTCCCCATATGCTTAGGGAACTCTGTCTTGTTCCCCAGAGGTAAAATTAGCTAGATTTATGTGGGTTGAAAGTTTTAGTAGTCTGAGCCTGTGAGAACAAGAATGTCAAAAAGGTAGTAAAGAAAACCTGACTCTGGAATTCTCATTCACAGAATACTGCAACTATCCTCCAATGAAGGGCACCTGTAAAATACATTTGACCAGATTCTACTACAACACTTTGACATTTTTATGTGAGCCCTTTGTCTTCAGTGGCTGTGGAGGCAACAGAAACAACTTTAAACAGAAATATATCTGTGAAAAATTTTGTATTACTGAAAAGTAAGTCTCTGGATATCTTACCCAACCCTCAATGACACCAAACACTAGGGATCAAAGCTTTTTTAAGGAAAAAGCAAATGAAAGCCTAGGGCAATGAGCAGGGAGGCAAGAAATTATACCTAAGTTGGGGTAATAAAAATTATTAAAAATTATTTTTTAATCATTATGTCATAGGCATTAATTTCTCAGGTCACTTAAATGTCACTATAATCAGTCATAGGCATAAGTTTCTCAGGTCACTTAATTTAATAACACTCTTGAAATTGTGAAAATTGAAGTCCAGCCAGGCACAGTGGTGTGCATCTGTAATCCCAGCTACTTGGGAAGCTGAGGCAGGAAGATCACTTGAACCCAACATTCAAGACCAGCCTAGGCAATACAGCAAGACTTCCATTTAAAAAAATATATATATATATTTATATATATATATAGAGAGAGAGAGAGAGAGAGACAGACAGACAGAGATAGCCAGGCGTGGTGGCTCATGCCTGTAATCCCAGCACTTTGGGAGGCAGATGCAGGCAGATCATGAGGTCAGGAGATCGAGACCATCCTGGCTAACACGGTGAAACCCTGTCTCTACTAAAAATACAAAAAATTAGCCAGGCGTGGTGGCGGGTGCCTGTAATCCCAGCTAGTCAGGAGGCTGAGGCAGGAGAATCACTTGAACCCGGGAGGGAGAGGTTGCAGTGAGCCAAGATCATGCCACTGCAGTCCAGCCTGGGCCACAAGAGCGAGACTCCATCTCAAAAAAATAAAAACAAAAATAAAGCTCAGAGAGGCTACTGACTTGGCCAGATTCACTCAGAAGAAGGACACGGATCCAGAGCTCCTAGCTCCCCACCAGCATCTCAATACTACCATGATGGCATCAGCTCTTTGAGATTGTGTTCAACATTTTATTGTTTCACAGTTAAATGAAAAGCTATGAGAATGTCAGAAGAGTGGGAGAAGACGAGGATCATGATTCGGTATCCACTATAAAGAATAGCTAAACAATGGTCTTACATGCAAGAGCAGAGATATCACTTCCTTCATCTGCATATTCTCAAAGTCTAGTACTATGTTTGCTCATTAATATTTTATGTATAGATGCATGGGTCAGGAGGAACATTAGTATTAAAGAGAGCTGTGAAGTTCTGCTGAGATGTTAAGGACCCATTGTTTGGGTCCTTATTGATACCAATGACCATAATAATCACTAAATTTATTTATTTATTAACAGGGACCGAAGTCAATAGGGCCTTAATACGACAGAAGGAGGAAACAAGGAAAAAAAGAGTATGCTCTATGAAAAATCATGCCAACGTTAATCTGAGAAGATAAATTGGATTATTTCTTAAAAAATTTTGAATTCTGAATTCTTTCTAATTTCCTTGCCCAGGTTTACCTTTCATACTAATTAGATATATAAAACCTTAACTGAAAATTTTCTGTATGTCAGCTCTGGTCTGTATTCATTCATCTCCCCCATTCTAGATTCTTCCAACATATACTGCAAATGACCTCTCTGCAGGGACCAACCTATCCATGTAATGCATCAGTGTATGTAAAGGCAATCATTATTGATATCTCCTGGGCATGACTTGCCAAAACTGAATTTCTTTCTGTATTTTGTCGCTGACCTCAGTGGGATTTGCATGTAGGTGGCACCAAGATAATCATTATCAAATTCTTTCATCTGCTCCAAATCAAAGGGCATTCAACCGACAAAAAATGATCATATTCTAGGGAAATATCTTCAGTGCCCCAGGTACCAGCCATATAGAAATTGTGACTTTACAGCTGAGAGCTATGAGTCTTGAACCAAAGTGAACCTCTACTCTCAGAGTACGAAGGGCCACTCCCCTCTTTTCTGTCTTATTCATATTCTTGTCAAAGACTAAGCCTCACAAATGAATCTATTGATATGAATAGCCTATGCCAGTGTTCTAAGGGCCATAAACAGTATAATAGACTGTAGCTCAGAGTGAAGCCACTTGTGGGTATTCTAGCTCGATCTCAACACTGGTAACCCCTGATCCTGAATTATGGGCATATCCTAGGAGAAATCATGGGAATTAGCAAAAAGTATGTGTTAAAGACGTCACTTAGTTCTGCTCCCAGGAGTTACTCCTGTGCAAAAAAAGAGACAAAGGAAACAAGAATGTTCTGTTAGCTTCTAGGTATTAAGGCAAAGTCTAGAATCTCAGACCTTGCTATGTCCAGATAAAACTTTGTTCTTGGGCCTGAATGTCATGGTGCCTATTCATGGATTCTGAAGATTTTCTTTCCTCTGATTACCATAAAAAACAGTGTTACATAAACAAGATTCAAGTACAATTTTTTAAGTCTTTCAAAACTATAGTCCAAAGAATTAATATAAGTAAAATATTCTCTGGAGACAAAGAATTACTGACAACAATGACCCAAAGTTCATTCTAGCCTCAAGTTTTCAGATTTCTTCTGGCCACTTGAATAATTGCCCAAGTTTCCTTCTCAATCAATCCTAAATTTTCATCTAAGAAAAGGGTATGTGTGTACTGTCTGTAGTGCTGAAGGAATATTTTACAAGTATCCACAAAGATTAGTAAAAAGGCAGAAAGATATATGTACATTGCACACCTTCATAGAAAACCACATACCCAAGGACTAATACAGGACACAAATCCACAAGAAACCCAAGTGGGTTTCACATTAAATTCAAGTGAGATATTTTGAGGAGAAAGTCACTGATAGAAGAGTAACAAAGGTAAAAATATAAACCAATATCTCAGAGTACAAACCAAAGACAGAATGAAAAGATTTTGGTTCTGACTTTGGCTTCTTCCCCTGAGTCATATTTGACCACTGGAGAAACTGAAAGGAAAAGATCCTATTACATATGGGACAGAAATTAAAAGTGGCTTAAGAAGATTCTGATTTCTGGTTTAAAAAGCCCCAAAGAGTAGGCGTAGTGGCTCACGCCTATAATCCCAGAACTTTAGGGGGCCAAGGCAGGAGGATCACTTGAGGCCAGGAGTTCAAGACCAGCCTGGGCAACATAGCAAAACTTGTCTATTAAAAAAATACAAAAGATGGCCTGGCCCAATGGCTCACACCTGTAATCCCAGCACTTTGGGAGGCCGAGGTGGGTGGATCACCTGAGGTCAGGAATTTGAGACCAGCCTGGCCAACATGGTGAAACCCCATCTCTACTAAAAATACAAAATTAGCCAGGTGTGGTGGTGCACACCTATAATCCAAGCTACTTGGGAGGCTGAGGCAGGAGAATCACTTGAACCCAGGAGGTAGACATTGCAGTAAGCCGATATCATGCCATTGCACTCTAGCCTGGGCAACAAGAGCAAAATTCTACCTCAAAAAATAATAATAATACAAAAGGTCAGGTCCAGTGGCTCATGCCTGTAATCCCGGCACTTTGGGAGGCCAAAACAGGCAGATTGCTTGAGTTCACAAGTTTAAGACCAGCCTGGACAACATGGCGAAACTCCACCTCTACTTAAAATACAAAATTGGCAAGGCATGGTGGTGCATGCCTGTAGTCCCAGTTACTTGAGAGGTTAAGGTAGGATGATGGCCTCAGCTGGGAGACAGAGGTTGCATGAGCCGAGATGGCACCACTGCACTCCAGCCTGGGTGATAGAGCCAGACCTTGTCTCAAAAAAAAAAAAAAAAGAAAAGTGGTGGGAGGAAGAAAAAAAAATTATAATACAAAAGATAAACAAAACAAAAAGTTGTTTTTTGAAAAGATAACAAAATTGGCAAACCTTTAGCTAGACCAGCCGAGAAAAAACAAAGACCAAATAAATAAAATCAGGGATGAAAAAGGACACATTACAACTGATACTGCAGAAATACAAAGAATCATTAGAGACTTATTTTTCCCCCTGAGACAGAGTTTTGCTCTTGTTGCCCAGGCTGGAGTGCAATGGTGCGATCTCAGCTCACTGCAACCTCCACCTCCCGGGTTCAAGCGATTCTCCTGCCTCAGCCTCCCAGGTAGCTAGGATTACAGGCATGTGCCACCACGCCCAGCTAATTTTGTATTTTTAGTAGAGACAAGGTTTCTCCATGTTGGTCAGGCTGGTCTTAAACTCCCGACCTCAGGTGATCCACCTGCCTCAGCCTCCCAAAGTGCTAAGATTACAGGCGTGAGCCACCACATCTGGCCTGGATCATTAGAGGCTATTATGGAAAACTACACACCAATAAATTGGAAAACTAAAAAGATAAATTATTTGACACATACAACTTACTAAAATTGAATCATAAAGAATCAGAAAACATAAGCAGGCCAACTATGAGTAATGAGATGAAAGCAGAAATTAAACATCTCTCTTTAAAGAAAAGCATATGACCTGATGGTTTTACTGCTGAATTCTACCAAATATTTAAAGAAGAATTATACAAATTCTACTCAAATTATTCTAAAAAATTGAAGAGGGAATACTTCCAAACTCATTCTACGAGGCAAGAAGTAGCCTGTGGCCAGGCACAGTGGCTCACGCCTGTAATCCCAGCACTTTGGGAGACCAAGAGACTAAGGCAGGTGGATGACTTGAGACCTGGAGTTCAAGACCAGCCTGGCCAACATGGCAAAACCCTGTCTCTACTAAAAATATGAAAATTAGTCAGGGTGGTGGCACATGCCTGTAATCCTAGCTACTCAGGAGGCCGAGGCATAAGGATCACTTGAACCCAGGAGGTGGAGGCTGCAGTGAGCCAAGATCGTGCCACTGCACTCCAGCCTGGGCAACAGGGTGAGACTCTGTCTCAAAAAAAAAGATCATTCACCATGATCAAATGGGATTCATCCCCAGATGCAAGGATAGTTCAACACATACAAATCAATAAATGTGATACATCCCATCAACAGAATCAAAAGAGCCATATGATCATTTCAGTAGATGGTGAAACAGCATTTGATAAAATTCAACATCACTTCATGATAAAAGTCTCAAGAAATTGGATATAGAAAGAACATACCTCAATGTAATAAAGGCCATACGTGACAAGCACATAGCTAATATCATATGGAATGGGGAAAAAGTGAAAGCCTTTCCACTAAGGTCTGAAACAAGATAATGATGCCACTTTCACCACTGTTATTCAACATAGTACTGGAAATCCCAGCTAGAGCAATTAGGCAAGAGAAAGAAATAAAGGGTATCCAAATTGGAAAGGAAGAAGTCAAATTAGCCTTGTACACACATGACATGAGCTTATATTTAGAAAAACCTACCACACCAAAAAATTCTTAGAACTAATCAAAAAAGTTAGTAAAATTACAGGATACAAAATCAACATACAAAAATCAGTAGTATTTCTATATGCTAACAATAATCTATCTGAAAAAGAAACCAAGAAAGCAATCTCCTTTACAATAGCCACACAAAAAAAACCCTAGGAATAAATTAATTAGAAGAAGTAAAAGATCTCCACAAGGAAAACTATAAAATGCTAATGAAAGAAACTGAAGAGGACACTAAAAAATAGAAAGATATCCCATGCTCATAGGTCATAATAATTAATATTATTAAAATGCCCATAATATCCAAAGTGATCTTCAGATTCAATACAATCTCTATTAAAATATCAATGGCATTCTTCACATAAACAGAAAATAAAATTTCAAAATTTGCATGGAATGACAAAAGACCCCAAATAGCTAAAGCGGTCCTGAGCAAAAACAACAAAGCTGGAGGTATCACACTACCTGAATTCAAATTATACAACAAAGCTATAGTAACCAAAGCTATAGTAACCAAAACAGCATGGTATTGGCACAAAAACAGACACATAGACCAATGGAACAGAATAGAAAACCCGGAAATTGGCCGGGCGCGGTGGCTCAAGCCTGTAATCCCAGCACTTTGGGAGGCCGAGACGGGCGAATCACGAGGTCAGGAGATCGAGACCATCCTGGCTAACATGGTGAAACCCCGTCTCTACTAAAAAATACAAAAACTAGCCGGGCGAGGTGGCGGGCGCCTATAGTCCCAGCTACTCGGGAGGCTGAGGCAGGAGAATGGCGTAAACCCGGGAGGCGGAGCTTGCAGTGAGCTGAGATCCGGCCACTGTACTCCAGCCTGGACGACAGAGCGAGACTCCGTCTCAAAAAAAAAAAAAAAAAAAAAAACCCGGAAATTAACTCATGCACATACAGACAACTCGTGTGTGTGTGTGTGTGTGTGTATGTGTGTGTGTGTGCGTGAGAGAGAGAGAGAGAGAGAGAGAGAGTCTTACTCTGTTACCCCGACTGGAGTGCAGTGGCACAAACTCAGCTCACTGCAAGCTCCGCCTCTGGGGTTCACGCCATTCTCCTGCCTCAGCCTCCCTAGCAGCTGGGACTAACAGGTACACACTGCCATGCCCGGCTAATTTTTTTGAGACAACTCATTTTTGACAAAGGTGCCAAAAATGTATGTTGGGGAAAGGACAATCTTGTTAATAAATGGTGCTGAGAAAGCTGGATATCTATATGCAGAAGAATGAAATTAGATTGCAATATTTTACCATATGCAAAAATCAAATAAAAATTGATTAAATACTAAAATCTAATGCCTGAAACTACAAAACTACTAGAAGAAAACATTAGTTGGGACATTGGTCTTGGCAAAGATTTTCTGGGTAAGACCTCAAAAGCACAAGCAACAGAAGCAAAAATAAACAAATGGGATTACATTATTAAAAAGTTTCTATGGCCGGGCCAGGCACGGTGGCTCAAGCCTGTAATCCCAGCACTTTGGGAGGCCGAGACGGGAGGATCACGAGGTCAGGAGATTGAGATCATCCTGGCTAACATGGCGAAACCCCGTCTCTACTAAAAAAATACAAGAAACTAGCCGGGTGAGGTGGCGAGCACCTATAGTCCCAGCTACTCTGGAGGCTGAGGCAGGAGAATGGCATAAACCCAGGAAGCGGAGCTTGCAGTGAGCTGAGATTTGGCCACTGCACTCCAGCCTGGGCGACAGAGCGAGACTCCGTCTCAAAAAAAAAAAAAAGTTTCTATGGCCAGGCGTGGTGGTTCATGCCTGTAATCTCAGCACTTTGGGAGGCTGAGGTGGGTGGATCACCTGAGGTCAGGAGTTCAAGACCAGCCTGGCCAACATGGTGAAACCCCATATCTACTTAAAATACAAAAAATTAGCTGGGCATGGTGATATGCACCTATAATCCCAGCTATTCAGGAAGCTGAGGGAGGAGAGTCACTTGAACCCGGGAGGTGGAGGTTGCAGTGAGATGAGATCATGCCATTGCACTCCAGACTGGGTGACAAGAGCAAGACTTCATCTCAAAAAAAAAGGTTTCTGCACGGCAAAGGCCAGTTGCCTTTAATCCCCACACTTTGGAGGCCAAGGCAGGCAGATCACCTGAACCTGAGGTAGGGAGTTTGAGACCAATCTAGCCAACATGGTAAAACACTGTCTCTATTAAAAATATAAAAATTAGCCAGATGTGGTGGTGCACACCTGTAATCCCAGCTACTCGGGAGGCTGAGGCACAAGACTCACTTGAACCCAGGAGGTGGAGGTTTCAGTGAGCCATGATTGCAGCACTGCACTCCAACATGGGCGACAGAGTGAGACTCTGTCTCAAAAAAAAAAAAAAAAGACAGGCTACAGGATGGAAGAAAATATTTCCAAACTACTCATCAACAAGGGACTAGGCTGTGCACAGTGGCTCACGCCTATAATCCCAGCACTTTGAGACAGAGGCAGGAGGATCACTTGAAGCCAGGAATTTGAGACCAGCCCAGGCACCATAGCAAGACCCTGTCTCTACAAAAAAAAAAAGGCAACAACAACAACAGGAATTTAAAATATATAAGAAACTCAAACAACTCAATACCAAAAAAAGAAAAATCTGACTGGCACAGTAGTTCACACCTATAATCCCAGCACAAGGCCAAGGCAGGTGGATCACTTGAGGCCAGGAGTTTGAGACCAGCCTGGCCAACATGGCGAAACCTCGTATCTAGTAAAAATACAAAAATTAGCCAGATGTGGTGGTGCATGTCTGTAATCCCCGCTACTTAGGAAGCTGAGGCAGGAGTATCACTTGAACCCAGGAGGCAGAGGGCAGAGTTTGCAGTGAGCTGAGATTGGGCCACTGCACTTCAGTCTGGGCAACAGAGCAAGATTGTATCTCAAAAAAATAAGTATATATACATATATCAATAAAGAGACATCATTGGGCAAAGGGGATTTGTCCCAATGGTCTTGACAGTGCCACAAATCATTTTAACACTTTTGGGTATAGCCAGGACCATCCTAGTGGTCTGAAATACAAAAGTGAGGCCCAGACTTCTTAAGGAGACAGGGCTGGGTGCCAGAAATTAAGAGGACAGGAGCCAGAGACAGGTAAGCAGAAACTTTACAAGAAAAAAAAATGGAAGATGAACAAAGACCCTAGGCCTCTGCAGTTGGGCTGCGAGAGAAGAGGTTTCAGAAGAGGATGAACTCAAGATGACATTCTTACAGACAGACCCCTGGCCATTGCAGAAGCATTTCTGGGCTCCTTGGCACCTCCAGTCCAGGAGGCACTGCAGGACACTGGAGGCCTTGGAGCTCATGGGCACCAGAACCCAGGCTTCCATGTAGTGAGTTATGTCCTGGCACTATAGTCCTAAGGTCTTGCAGGAGCCCTCCTACCCCCTGTTCCAGCCCTGGGACACAATTGCCATGCTACATGCTTCCTTTCTATAATTAAAGAAGGAAACCCTCAGGGCACCCCACTCCATCACTCACCTCTCACCAGGGACCAGGTACCAGGGTGGGTGTCCTTCTTCCTGAAAAAGAAAGACTTAGATAAAGCAGTCCCTTGTGAAACAGGCAGCCATTAGTACCAGGGCCCAGCCTAGGTGAGAACTCTCAGGCCCTGCCTGGCAGCCCACAGCCAGGCAAGGTTGAGATACCAAGTTACTCTACAGATTTTGTCTTTTTTTTTTTTTTTTTTTTTTTTTGAGACAGAGTCTCACTCTGTTGCCCAGGCTGGAATGCAGTAGCGTGATCTCAGCTCACTGCAACCTCTGCCTCCCGGGTTCAAGCAATTCTCTTGCCTCAGCCTCCAGAGTAGCTGGGATTACAGGCGCCCACCACCAAGCCCAGCTCATTTTTGTATTTTTTGTAGAGATGGGGTTTTACCACGTTGGCCAGGCTGGTCTCAAACTCCTGACCTCAGGTGATCCACCCACCTCAGCCTCTCAAAGTGCTGGGATTACAGACATGAGCCACCACACCCGGTCTCAATTATTTTTTAAGCATTAGTTTGGTGAAAAAATATTTTGATTTTTTTTAAAACAAGCAAGTATTACTTTTGTGATCTTTTAAAACTGATTAGATGAAAAAACGGAAAACGTAACATAAGAATACTTTAAAAAAAAAAAAAAGCAGAATCAGCACCACCTGGAAGCTTGTTATTTATACAGAATCTCAGACCCACCTGAAACCTACTGCATTGGAATTTGCATTTTAACAACTCCGGTGATTTGCTTTCTCAGTGCACAAGTTGTAGTCTGTGAAAAGTCAGGAGCTATCAGGAAAGGAGATCTACTTCCCTGGCTACTTGAATGAAGGTTTCTTCTACATCTACGACTGCTACCCGTAAAATGTGAAATACCCTCATCAGGAATCTATACGGCTCTAAAGACTCACAGTGAGATGTTAAGTATCCCTTTCTCCTTCCTAATAGCAGCCTATTTCCTTTCAAGGAATTCTCTTACCCTGTTCTATGATGTCTTGTTGTGAGGGTGAATTTCAGGTGCCTGCTAACCCAAACAAGCCAGAGAAGCAAGTCTTTTCTCTAGGTTCTCAACCAGGGGCGATTTTGCCCCCCAGGGGACATTTTGGCAACATCTGGAAACATTTGTTGGTAACAAATGACAGGGAGAGATACTGGCATCTAGTGAAAAGCAGCCAGGGCTGCTGCTAAACATCATATACTACCCAGGACGGCCCCACAGCAAATAATTATCCAGCCCAAAATATTAACAGGATAAAAGGCTGCGAAACCCTGAATGAGTAATTACATATATTCTCTCTCTTTCAGGAAGTCTCAATCTTGAGAGAAGGGGGAAAGAGAAATAGAACATCGCTGTCACAGCAGCGTCACTGTGACCCAACTCTTCCCGCCTAGATGACCTGCTTCCTGCCTCTTGACCCTCCAGAGTGCTGTCAATTTCCTACCATGGATCCCTGGCTTTGCATAAATCATAAGAACCTCAATTTCCTTCCAGCTCACCGTCTTTTGCCCAAGTTAGCCAATATCTTTCTGTTGATGGTAACCAAGAACCCTTATGCCCAACCATCCAGTTAGAGGAGGGCTCCATTCCAGAGCAGGGCAGGCTTACCCAGCTGCTAGGCTAAGCACACACTTCAAGCATCAGCAAGCAACGGACAAGCTCAGCTTGAATGAACTTAACCAGAATTTGCAATCAAGAAAACTAGAAAGAAACTATTTTAATTTTAGTATAAATGTTTAATTTTACATCACGTGACTTAAACAGTTCATTATTTGGGACCCTAATGTTCTGGGCCATCCGGTGGGGCAGGCTTGCTCTGGTTTTGAGTTTCAGTGCTAAGAAGGAAGAGGAAAACAAGAGAGAGAAGAGATCAAGTTGTTTATATTATCTGGCTTCAGGTGAGAGAGTACTGAAAAGAGAAGCCTATGTTTAAAGGAAAAAATATTAAAACTGGGAAAGTATTGAACATGGAAAGATGTAACCTATACACTGAAGTACAGCACAATGGAAAAACCAAAAAATTAAAACCAAGAATACTGTATATCAAGAAATAGCAATCTACCTGCAAGCCAAAAAGTGTTGCAGAAAGAATGGAGGCTTTATCATCAAATACACCTGTTGCTTTAACTAAACTAAGATTGAAAGTAAAAGCCTTAGCCTGGGAAACATAGTGAGACCCCATCTCTACAAAAACTGAAAAATTAGCCAGGTATGGTGGTGCACACCTGTGGTCCCAGCTACTTCGGAGGCTGAAGCAGAAGGATTGCTTGAGCCCAGGAAGTCAAGGCAACAGCGGGCCATGTTTGAGCCACTGTACTCCAGCCTGGGTGACAGAGTAAAACCCTGTCTCAAAAAAAAAGAGAAAGAATGTAAAAGCCTTTGAAGCCATTTAGCAAAGATCATGGAAAACAAGGCAAGCAATGGCTACAGAGTTCCAGAACCTTGTTAAATATAATAAATAAGGAAATATTTAAAAATTGAACACCTTAACAATTAAAAATCATATCGATCTATTATTTTGTTGAATGACAAAAGCCTATTACAGGATGATTCTACCCATATCAACATTTGCATATATGCATAAAGCAAGTCTGAAAGGACCTTCACAAGCGTGTTAACAATGGTCGCCTATGGGGAGGGAGATCTTTTTTTTTTTTTTTTGGTGCATTAGCGATCTTGATGGTTTCAAATGTCATCACCAGGGAACAACAGACACTGGGGCCTACTTAGGGTGGAGGGCAATAGGAGAGTGAGGATTAAAAAACTATCTATCTGATATTATGCTCATTACCTGGGTGATAGAATTTTCTGTACACCAAACCCCCAAGACACGCAATTAGCACATGTAACAAACCTGCATATGAATCCCTTTAAAGTAAAATACAAGCTGAAAGGAAAAAGATAAAACCTCTTCACCATCTTTCAGATAGTAATTTTTTTCATTGCTTCTTCAGTGTACACAAATATTCTTTTACATCATTCACACTTCTTCTTTGAACTTTTCTATACTGTTTAAATATCTCAATAATGCTTATGAATCCTATTTTTAAGAAAACAACAGCAAATTAACAAATAAAAAGGAGAAGGAGGAAAGTGAGGAGGAGAAAAAGAATAACAAAAAAGACTTGTGATCCTAAGCATATAAACAGCTCTGAACTTGCAGGAAAGCTGAAAAAGAAAAACAAGAGAAAGGTAAAGGAAGAATGATCATTTATAATATTACTAAATTGGGCCAGGTGCGCTGATAGCAAGCAGCTGATAGCAAGCTTTCACTTTATCTTTGAGAATGCCTTTTGAGTCTCTCGCCTGGAAATGGTCTATGACAGACTTCTGCTGCCCTCTAGTGAGCCGAACATGAAACACACAGCAAAGAATTTTTACCAGTCACATGGTCTCTTCTTTGCTTATATTGCTGAATCTGTAGGAAGCTAGGCTTCTCCACACAATCCCTTGAGGAGAAGGCTTAACTTGCATACGAAAGGCAAGACACCTCTCCCAACTCAAGAGCAACCCACTGCCAGGATGCGCTCTGGGCTTCCTGCTTTCCTCACCCCACTTACACGCCTTAGCAACATCATCATGCCCCCACGGGAGCAGTGGAGGCTGCAGGGGCCCATAGTATTGCTGGGGCCAAGGGCACATATGGAGTCTGAGATTTCTACAACCAGATGGTGAAGAAGTGGGGTGGGGAAGGGAGGAGCTGCGTGGTTCTGGTCAAAGAACAAGTCTTTCTCAGCCCACACTGGAGCCCCAGACATTCCTGCCCACGATGAGGAAGCTGAGGAGTAGGGCGGGGGAGGAGGGTGGCTTTTCAACCTGGTCGGAGGCTAATTTTGGGTGCAAAGTGAGAGAGTAGGATCAGGGTCCACTGAGACCTGCTCCCGGGTCATTTCCACCCCAGGACCAAGGCTGAAATGGACTTAAACCCTGAGGAAGGAAAGGTTCTAACAGCTTCTTTAGTTCAGGGTTCAACAGTAGAGAAAGCTGCCCAGAAAGACCTGGGGGTGGGAATTTGGCCCCAGCTCAGCCTTTGACCTCCAGCTTTCAAATTTAACCCTTCAGCACTCCCTCTCGTTCTCTCTCTCTCTCTCTCTGTCTCGTCCTTCAAATGTAACCCTTCAGCACTCTCTCTCATCTCTCTCTCTCTTCCTTCAAATGTAACCCTTTAGCACTCTCATCTCTCTCTTTCTCTCATCCCTATCTCTATCTCTCTCTATAATATATCTATCTCATCTCTCTCTCTCATCTCTATCTCTATCTCTCTATATATCTATCTCTCTATCTCTATCTCTATCTCATCTCTATCTCTATCTGTCTCTCTCTCTCTCTCTCTCTCTCTCTCTCTCTCTCTCTCTGTAAGCAGGTCAGCAGCTCCCACCGGAAAGGGTGAGCCTCCGGACAAGGAGGAAAGGTCTGCAAGGAGCAGCTCTCCCATTGCTCAGCCTGAGCTGTGCCTGGGGCTCACACCTGTCCTCCATTCCCACTCTCCACCCTGACAGAACATCATTCTGCAATATTTTAGGATTCCCAGACTGTTGTTTTTCATTGAAAGTTCTACCCTACTGATTTTTTTTTTCTTTTTTCTTTTGAGACGGAGTTTCGCTCTTGTTGCCCGGGCTGGAGTGCAACGGCAGGATCTCAGCTCACTTGGAACTTCCACCTCCTGGGTTCAAGTAATTCTCTTGCCTCAGCCTCCCGAGTAGCTGAGATTACAGGCACGCACCACCACACCTGGCTAATTTTTGTATTTTTAGTAGAAATGGGGTTTCACCGTATTGGCCAGGCTGGTCTCGAACTCCTGATCTCAAGTGATCTGCCTGCCTCAGCCTCCGAAAGTGTTGGGATTACAGGTGTGAGCCACTGTGTCCGGCCACTGCTGAGTTTTTGTGACTTCTCCCCCTTATTTTCATTCTGGCATGTGAAATTCTGGTTTCTACCTGGTTCGGAACATTCATCTTTTGAGTAGAGTAGGTGTATGTCAATGTTGCCTGATTCAAAAAACAGTGGTTGGCATGAACCTTACAGTGGCCATACCAGGAACATCCATGACTCCAGGATCATGTTGCAGGGAACTGGGAAGGGTCAGTGTCTGTGTGATGGCCTGCTGAACATTTTGGAAGATCCCTCTTCCACTGTTTTATCATTTTGTTGTTTATTTAAAAACTCAAATACATGCACATAGTTGTTTTTTTTTTAAATCATATTATCACAGCACCACACCTGACTAATTTTTGTATTTTTAGTAGACAGGGTTTCTACTACAACAGTCAAAGGCACAACTACTCAGAAGGCTGAGGCACGAGAATTGCTTGAACCCAGGAGGCGAAGGTTGCACTGAGCAGAGATCGCGCCACTGCACTCCCGCCTAGGCAACAGAGCAAGATTTCGTCTCAAAAAAAAAAAGATAACTAATTAAATAAATTACCCATTCATAGAGTTCTATTAAAAGAATATATATGATGACATGAAAGATCTCCAAGATACACAATATAATCCATTTCATATAAATAAAAAACATAACTTTAAAAAATTGTCTTGGTCCCAAGAACCTAGGGACATCCCCTCCCTAAAATAAAGCTACCTGGAGGGGACAAACTGCTTGTCTTGGAGCCAAGGGCTGGCCCTCAAGGAAGGAGGTCCAAGGTGGGAACATTCCAGCAACTACAAGAAACTAGCCACTCTGCCGGGCACAGTGGCTCACGCCTATAATCCCAGCACTTTGGGAGGCTGAGACAGGTGGATCGCCTGAGGTCAGGAGTTCAAGACAAGCCTGGCCATCATGAAACCCCACCTCTACTAAAAATACAAAAATTAGTAGGGCATAGTAGCGTGCCTGTAGTCCCAGCTACTCAGGAGACTGAGGCAAGAGAATCACTTGAACCCGGGAGGCAGAGGGTGCAGTGAGCCAAGATTGCGCCACTGCACTCCAGCCTGGGCAACAGAAAAATACATCTCAAAAAAATAAAATAAATAAAATAAAAAAAACTAGCCACTCACCCCTGTTCCACCCTCAACCTACATTCTCCAATAAAAGAAGAAGGTCAGCAGGTCTAAAAGAGACTGACCTCCACCCCCACCAGGGCTTGAGAAAGACATCTAAGGCAAGTCACTCTGTTTAGTTTCCACCCATCGCTCCCCTAGCCACACCCAACCAAAACCCATTTTCAGAGTCGTCACAAAGAATGGATTACCCATCTGTCCTAAATATGTAAATCGTGCAATCCCACAGGTACACTCATACCCTCTAGCTCTCCCATATCATCTGAGCCCTCAAACAGCACAGACAAGAGGTCAGCACCAGCCTTTATTGGGAAAGAGAAGCACCACACACCCACTGCCCAATCCAGGGCTGTTTCCCACGCTCTGGTCAGCAGCAGGAGGAGAAGCAGAGCAGAGAGGGCCATGAGTGCCCCTGGAAATGTCACAAGCCCCAGGATGTCACCCTCTCTTGACTACCAGGAAAAGCTTCCAGAGTTACCACAGAAGTTCCAGACAAATCAGCACAGCTAGGGCACTGGGATCTCTGCAAGTAGAAGAAATATCAAGTCACAGCTGTGCCCTCCTGGCTTCAGCTACCCAAAATGTTTTCCCTCCACGCTAGGAAAGCTTGGCCTATATTGCTCTCAAAAGTCTTAAATGGCTCCTTGCTTCCCAGACAATCCAATCCAAACTGGCACTGAAGGCTCGTATTATTCAGATGTCAACTTTATGTCTCCTGTTATTAAAAAAAAAAAAAAAAAAAAACTGGAGATATGGTCAGGCACAGTGGCTCACGCCTGTAATCCCAGCACTTTGGGAGGCCAAGGCGGGCGGATCACCTGAGATCAGGAGTTTGAGACCAGCCTGGCCAACATAGTGAAACCCCGTCTTTACTAAAAATACAAAAATCAGCTAGGTATGACAGTGGGCGCCTGTCATCCCAGCCTTGGGAGGCTGAGGCAGGAGAATTGCTTGAACCCAGAAGGCAGAGGTTGCAGTAAGTTGAGATAGTGCCATTGCACTCCAGCCTGGGTGACAAGAGTGAAACTCCATCTCAAAAAAAAAAAAGAAAAACTGGGATATGTCTGTTCCTTTACCCATCCTGCCCCCACTTCTCACCTCCCAAACATATCCCACACATTCCCACCCTGTGTTCCTTTGCCAGCAATCACCAGATTACCTGTCTGGCATGTCCGTGTGCTATCCTCACTTTGTCGCATCTGCCTAGCCTTAAGGGCCTCGATCAAATCCCACCTCTCCCAGAGACCTTCCCAGGGAGCCACACCTGGGAGCAAGTGTAAGCCTGTACTGTTTATATGAGGGTTCTCATCTGGGACACAGGTTCACCACACCTGGGAACAGATGTAAGCCTGTACTGTTTGCATGAGGGTTTTCATCTGGGACATAGTTTCTTTCTCTCCAACTAGACTTTTCCTGACCTTCTGAAGTCCCCTTCCCAGTACCTAAGCCAGTGCTTTGCACATAGCAGTTGTCTGTTATTGTTGATGACAATGGACTGTACTCACCTAATTCAGAATCAGACCTCACAGTCCAGTTGGGGTTCACGGTCAGTTTTCGGGGCAGGACTGGTGGGACACAGAAGCGGCCACAGCCTGACTTGCAGCACTTTTCTCCAGCTTGACAGTTCTCATCCATCACACAGCCGACAATGCACAGGCCCACCAGAACTTTTGGACAATCACCGCCCCGCCCTGTGGGAACAACAGGCACAAGAAAAGGGACAGGGTGTCAGCTCCGCCATCTCCATGTTCCCATCTAGAACTTACACACAGAGGCTCTAGGTCAATCAACCCCTGACCCTCACTAGACCCAACTAAACTGGCTGGGAAACCATGGAGCTGGAGGATCTGAGAATCTTTAGGAACCCAAGAGAACTCTGAGCCCAGAGTTTTCAAATGGTGCCCCAAAGGGAGTTTCCAAGAGGTAACTCAGGGATTGATACCCCTGCAGGTTTGGGGTGGGGGTGAGTGACATGTGGCAGGGACAAGCCTCCCAGACCACCACCCTCTCCCCCTATGCTCTGGATTCATAGTGTCACTTCCTCATGGTGACCTCTGCCACCCTAGACAAGGTTTGATGTCCCTGCTTTGTGTTCCTGTAGCACCCTGTATACTTCCTCTCATCAAACTTCATGATAATCTCTTACTTAAAAGGAATATGTCTATCTTCCCTGATGGCCTATAAGCTACATAAGGACAAGAGTCTGTCCTCAGCCTTGAGCATTGCCTGGGAATCTAAAGGGACTAAGATAGCACCAGAGTCAATGATTCTTTAATGGAGATCCACAGTGCCTGGCACTCAAAAATATTTGTTTTTTAAAAATGTTGAAGAAAAAAAGGCATTGGAACAGGAATGCTTTTATGTTTATATATATATGTGTGTGTGTGTGTGTGTGTGTGTGTGTGTGTGTGTGTGTTTCCGGCTGGGCGCGGTGGCTCATGCCTATAATTCCAGCACTTTGGGAGGCCGAGGCAGGTGAATTAGGAGTTCAAGACCAGCCTGGTCAACATGATGAAAGCCCATCTCTACTAAAAATATAAAAATTAGCGGGGCATGGGCCAGGCGCAGTGGCTCAAGCCTGTAATCCCAGCACTTTGGGAGGCCGAGGCGAGCTGATCACGAGGTCAGGAAATCGAGACCATCCTGGCTAACACAGTGAAAGCCAGTCTCTATTAAAAATACAAAAAAAAAAAAAAAAAATTAGCCAGGCATGGTGGCAGACACCTGTAGTCCCAGCTGCGTGGGAGGCTGAGGCAGGAGAATGGTGTGAATCCGGGAGGCAGAGCTTGTAGTGAGCCGAGATTGTGCCACTGCACTCCAGCCTGGGCGACAGAGCGAGACTCCGTCTCAAAAAAAAAAAAAAAAAAATATATATATATATATATATATTTCCAACTAAGATTTCATTTGGGGCAGGGGAGAAGCTTTTTGTTAAAAATTAGATCTGAAAATCAGGATCTTAGGCAACTCCCTCATTTTACAGATAAAGAAACTTGGGCTCATGGCCGGGCACGGTGGCTCAAGCCTGTAATCCCAGCACTTTGGGAGGCCGAGACGGGTGGATCACGAGGTCAGGAGATCGAGACCATCCTGGTGAACACAGTGAAACCCCGTCTCTACTAAAACTACAAAAAACTAGCCGGGCGAGGTGGCGGGTGCCTGTAGTCCCAGCTACTCGGGAGGCTGAGGCAGGAGAATGGCGTGAACCCGGGAGGCGGAGCTTGCAATGAGCTGAGATCCGGCCACTGCACTCCAGCCTGGGCGACAGAGCGAGACTCCGTCTCAAAAAAAAAAAAAAAAAAAAAAAGAAACTTGGGCTCAAAAAGAAGGGTTTGCTTACCCAAGGTCACAGAGCAAAACCTCAGCAGAATCAAGACCAAAAGCCACACTGTCTGTCTTCCAGCCCAGGTAGTTCCTACTGACCCACAGTGCCTCCCCCCTAGTTCTTTTAATGTCGGCATGGCCCCTCGGCCCTAGAAGAAGCGGTTGCTGTGGGTTGGAGGACTACAGGGACAAGAAGAATGAGAATCCTAGCTCCTCTCAGGAAGGGAAAGAGAAGCACTCTTTTCAGGAAACACTCAAGGATTTCTTCCCCAAAGAGCCAACATACCTCCCTCAATGTCTCCGAGGCAGGTGTGGCCACAGCCGGTGCTGCAGCATTTATGCCCCTGGGGACAGGATGCATCCCCATCACACAGCTCCTCACACGGAAGGGGGTCAGCAGGACATTCACCACCAAACTCTGCTACAGAAACAAAGCATTGGAGCCCAGAGATGCTCAGGCCCACAGTATGAAACACATTTTTCATTGTATCCCATGTGTATGTTTATATATAGTTATATATTTATATACATGTCATATACACATATAGTTATGTATTTATATACATACATTATATACATATATAATGTACATATGTGTGTGTATCATGTATCTGCAATACATCTGATTTTTTTCAGACAGGGTCTCACTGTGTTGCCCTGGCCAAAGTGCAGTGGCACAATCATAGCTCATTGCAGCCTCAAACTCCTACATTCAAGGGATCCTCCCGCCACAGCCTCCTGGTAGCTAGAACTACAGGCACATGCCACCAGGCCTGGCTAATTTTATTTATCTATTTATTTATTTTGTAGAGACAGGGTCTCACTGTATCACCCAGGCTAAAGTATGGTGACACAATCATAGCTCACTGCATCCTGAAACTCCCGCGCTCAAAGGATCCTCCCACCACAGCCTCCTGAGTAGCTAGGACTACAGGCACAAGCCACCAGGCTAATTTTATTTATTTATTTTGTAGAGAAAGAGTCTCACTACATTCCCCAGGCTGTTATCAAACTCCTGGCTCAAGTGATTCTCCCTCCTGAGCCTTCCAAAGTGCCAGGATTACAGGCGTGAGCCACCACACCCAGCCCACCCTGATATTTTATATTCTAGTTCTTCTTTTTCCTAGTTACTAAATTGCTTTCAGGACTCACAGTTTGAAAAACACTGTTCAGGTCTAACCCACTGTGGCCAATATTCTCCGTGAATTCTCCCTGTGGCAGACATTTACAATGGTGGCCTCTAGTGAACTTTATCTCCTGGGATTCAGGCCCTTGTGTAGTCCCCTTCCATGCCTACTCTGGGTTTGACCATCTGACTGACTTTGACAAATGGGACATTAGCAAATGTAATGTAAGCAGAGGCTTGATAAGCACTTGCATACTGGGGCTTGTCCACTCAGAATACTTCCTCTTGGAAACCAGCCGCCATGTTATAAAGCAGCTTGAACTATACTATGGGATGACGAGATGCCCCACGGAGACAGAACCTAGAAGAGAGGTCATCCTGGACGTGGTGGCTCCAGTTGAGCTCCCTGCTGAGCTCCCAGCTGAATGCAGCTAAATGAATGACCACGGCTATATCATGTGGGTATATGTACTGCCCAGCCAAGTTCAGGCAACCTACACAACTGTGAAAAAGAGTAACTATATTGCTTTAAGTCATGAAGTTTGGAGATGGTTTGTTATGCAGCAGTAGATACCGGATACTAAGTTTATTCTGAGAGGCAACAGGTCCAGCTAAAATGATTTGTTTCCCCATATTCTCTTGCAACTAGGGTTGATCACAAACTAGGACATAAACTGGGAAACTTTTGTCCTCCTGACACAGGGAATACCCCTTTCAAACTGCTCCCTCACTTCTTTCTTCTTCCAGTCCAAAGACAGACATTACACGGAGAGGCAGAGCAGCCTTCTTTCAATGAGGAGGCAACTCAGCATAACGAAATGGTCAAGAATTGCAAAGGAGTGTTGCATGAAAGGGGAGAAGGTTAGCACTCCCCTCGACAAGGATGCAAAAGGCCCTTGGGCCTGAGAACACGCATACGGTTCAAGCATTGCCACCTACTTTGTGGCATCTAACCATCGTCTTTCAAAATAAAAAAATAATAAAATGTAAATGTAAAAAAAAAGAAGAATTGCTAAGAAGAAACAGGGAAATAGTTTCATCCCTGTTAGCATCATGGAGCCACCATCCCAGCCTCAGGACTTCTTGTTGTATGAGAAAAACAAACCCCTATATGATTAATTTTCTGTTGTGTGCAGCCAAACACATTCCCTATTAAAATAAACTCAGAGGAGGATCTTGCCCAGAACTACAGAGTGAGTCAGCAGCAAGGCAGGACAACACTCAGCCTCTTGATTTGCGGTAAAGTACTTTTTCTACTACTCTACCCTTAAAACATGCAGGCAACTGGCCAGGGCCCCAGGCACAGGCACACCCAAAGAAGGCCACATCCAAACCAAACCAATTCACCATGACTCATTCGTCTTAGTGTTTATTTCAAGTTTCTTAAGTAAAGAGAAAGGTGACAGGCAATTAAAGAATTTCGCAGAAAACCAAAGCAAGACTGGCTCAGTGCCTCTGAGTAGGAACAGGTAAGTATGATTGCATACAGCTGGCTCCAGGAAGTCTCCTATGATGGAAAAAGCAAGTACTGGAATCCAAGGAGAATACGTGCAGCTAAACAACCCAGGCATCATAACCCTGTATCCTGGGATTTTCCTGAACAGCCCCTATTTCAAATATCCTGTGCTATTGTGAGATCACATCAAAACTATGTGTCCTGATTTTTGACTCAGAAAATGTGGTCACTGTAACCACCAAATGCATCTCCCTGCACCTCCCCACCTGCTTGACAAACACTGAAATCCATTTAACAAGGAACAAAAGCCTTCTATCTCACAGTTGAGAAGGGGGGGCATAAAAATCTCCCTGGTGGAAAAACCCGGTGACATAAACTTCTCATAAAATTATGCCACGTGCCCTAGAATCTAGGAGTGCCATACATCCCAGATTTCACCATTTTGCTGAGCTTAGCCCTGAGATGACCAAAGCCAGGAGCTCTCTGCTACTCTCTGCCCTCGTCCTCAAGACCAGGCAGGGAGCACTTACCTCTACCCTTTTCCAGGCCAGGCTTCCTGGAGGCCTGGAGGGTCACAGCACCTCGCTTTTGACCAGTGACCAGCAATGCCACCCAGTCTGACACCCTGCCTTATACATGAATCCCTGCCACATGATCCCTTTCTTTCAGCTCTAACACCTGGAATTAATGGGGCCTCACTACCTCCAAGCCAGATTACGCTATCTTTCTACTTAAGCTAGACAGCCTTTACATCTCCTTTTTTTTTTTTTTTTTTGAGGCAAGGTCTTGCTTTGTCACCCAGGCTGGGGTGCAGTGGCCTCAAACTCTCAAACTCCTGGGCTCAAGCAATCCTCCCGCCTCAGCCTCCTAAGTAGCTGAACTATAGGCACATGCTACCAGGCCCAGCTAATTATTTGTATTTTTTGTAGAGACGGGGTCTCACTATGTTGACTAGGCTTATTTTGACCTTCTGGCCTCAAGCAGCTCTCCCACCTCAGCCTCCCAAAGTGCTGAGGTTACAGGCATGAGTTGCCATGCCTGGCCCTTTGTACCTCTTTATACTCATCTGAAATCTGGTTGGTCCTTTTCCTATCCCCAGAGACCTTACAAAAAACCTGGTGGATGCTATTCTTTCATGCAGGATCCTCTGTCTTTCACTATCCTGGCTTTGCCATGCTAGGTAAGCTCAGTTCCTCATAAGACATGCTCTCTAATCACCTCACAATTAGCTTACCAAGAATCAGGAAGAGAAATAGGAATGGTAGCCAGAATGGGGATGACGGTTCCCCACCCATCCCAAGACTCTAAGCTATCCAAAAAAGGAATGAAGCTGAAGCCCAGGAAATACAGTCTGTCCTGCTGCCTCAGCTCCAACCTGCCACTATGTCTGAGAGAAAGATGCCAGTTGCTGTTGGAAAAGTAAAATTTCAGCACTTCTTAACCCAAGAAGGGCCCTCTGAGCTAACAAACTTACTCCGCTTCTCTTGTAAATAGAGAGACAGACAACCAGAGACAGGGATCGGCCTGAGGTCAACGGTAGCAGAACTGAGTCACAAATCTCCAGCTCTGACATAAGGTCTCATGCCCTTTAAACCACATCATGGGCCCAGTTCAGTGACTCATGCCTGTAATCCCAGCACTTTGGGAGGCCGAGGTGGGTGAAACACTTGAGGTCAGGAGTTCAAAACCAATCTGGTCAACATAGTGAAACCCTGTCTCTACTAAAAATACACACACACACAAAAAAAAAATAGCCAGGTGTGGTGGTGGGTGCCTGTAATCCCAGCTACTGGGGAGGCTGAGGCAGGAGAATTGCCTGAACCCGTGAGGCAGAGGTTGCAGTGAGCCGAGATCACACCACTGCACTCCATCCTGGGTGACAGAACGAGACTCTGTCTCAAACACACACATACACACACACACACATACACACACACACACACCATGATGATCCCCTACACTGCAACAAGGATCACACAAAAACAAACCAAGAAGCACTGGACTCACTCCACTCAGTTCTGCCAAAAGAGAAGACCCAGTGGTAGATAGTTTTAGGGGTTAGGAAAAGTTATGCACCAGTGTGTAGGGAGTCCTCAAGACCACTTACTTCCAGGTTCAGTGATTCATTAGCAGGACTCAGTGTAGAGTCATACCCATGGCTATGATTTATTACAGCAAAGGGAAAAGTCCAGAGGAAATCAGGTGCAAATTTTCAAGAGTCCTCCCAGTAGAGTCACGGGATGCACTTAATTCTTCCGGCATGGAATTGTGACATGTGTGAAGTGTTTTCTACCAGGGAAACTCATTAGAGACTCACTGTGAAAGGTCTCTACTGGGGGCTAGTCACTCAGACACCCTCTGCCTAGCACGTACCAAGATTCCAGACTCTCAGAAGGAAAGCAGATGTTCAGCCTAAACCACAATGTTTACACAAACAGTTTAGGCACAGTGAACCACTCTTATCAGTCAGAGTAGGACAAACACCCACAAAATCCAAGTTCCCAGAAGCCAGCCAAGGCCCAACCTTGCCAGCAAGGCTTTTTAAGAAGAGCAGTCTCAGGCTTATTATGCTAACTCTTTTCTGTACATACATATATAATGTATGTACAGAATTATACAACCTACAGTGAGGTTTTAGAAAAGGGTCAGCCAGACACACAGGGAGGCCATGCCATCAACCTACATAAAAGATAATACATATGTGATTAATAAGCAAAACAGAGGGTCACAGGGGATCTGGAGTGGTCAGGTTTCATACAGTGGGGAGGTGAGCCATGAGGGGGCCCAAGAAGACAACTCTCAGGCCAGAATCAGAATCTTCACTCCAAAACCTCTTCCCCCAGGTTGTCCCTGTCTCTGAAAAGAACACCACCATCACCCAACTGCTCAAGCTGAATATCTACCACCCTTCTTTATACCCTGTCTCCCTCAATGCCTGCAGCCACTTACTTCTTCACGCAGTCCCATCAATTCTACCTTCACAAACATGTAAGCCTTCCATTTTTCTTTTTTGTCGTTGTTGGGTTTTGGGGGGTTTTTTGTTTTGTTTTTTTTTGTTGTTGTTGTTTTGTTTGTTTGTTTGTTGAGATGGAGTTTTGCTCTTGTTGCCCAGCCTGGAGCGCAGTGGTGCAATCTTGGCTCACTGCAACCTCCGCCTCCTGGGTTCAAGTGATTCTCCTGCCTCAGCCTCCCGAGTAGCTGGGATTACAGGCACCCACCACCATGCCTGGCTAATTTTTGTATTTTTAGTAGAGATGGGGGTTTCACCATGTTGGCCAGGCTGGTCTCGAACTCTTGACCTTGTAATCTGCCCGCCTTGGCCTCCCAAAGTGCTGGGATTATAGGCTGAGCCACAGCACTTGGCCGCCTACCATTTTTCTACGTCTGCAATATCTCCACCCCAGTCTAAGCCCCAATCATTTCTCCCAGCCTGCCACAATAGCCTCCTAACTGGTCTTCCATCTTCTACACTTGCCCCCATCCATTCTCCATATACCGGCAGAGTGGTCTTTTTAAAATTAAAACTGGACAAGGCCTCTCCTGCTTTTAAACCTCCTCAAAGGCTTCCTATTGCACTTAGAATAAAGCCTAAGAGAGAAACCCTGAAGACTCCCCAAAGTCTGGGCCCTGCCTACCTCTCCAACCTCAAATGAAAGTAGCCTCCTTCCGTTTTCTTCCATTACCTTCAAAGCACTCATCACATCTTGCGGTTATTATGTATTTGTTTTCTCAATTATTTCCTGTTTGTCACACCATGACAAAGCCCCAGGGGGGCAAGGACCATGACTGCCTTGCTCACCACTGCAGACCTACATGCCAGGTAGGGTAGCCACACTCAATATACAGTGAATAAAGGAATAAGTGGGTGAGTAAACAGACAGGTCAGCCATCAGATAGGTGGGGAGGTGGAGAACGGGTGGACCAGAACACAGAGGTACTTGGCATGACCATATGAGCTCTTGAGCATTATCTGGCAGGTTTACTGCAGACTTTTTAAAATGCATTTCTGACCGGGTACAGTGGTTTGTGCCTGTAGTCCCAGTTTCTCAAGGGGTTAAGGCAGAAGGATCACCTGAGCCCAGGAGGTTGAGGCTGCAGTGGGCTGAGATCACACCACTGCACTCCAGTGGTTAAATAAATAAATAAATAAAATGCATTTCTTCTCAACTGCATTATCACTAAATATCCTTATCCCCGTTTTACAGATGATAAAAGTGAGGTTCAGAGAAATGAAGGGACTTGCCCAAGGCCACACAGCACGCAAGCAAAAGAGCCAGGATATAGATCCATGTTCAGATTAGAACAGTGTCATGAGAGCAGGACCCAATATCTGCCCTTGCCCTAAGGCAATCTGTTTGGTCTCCACTGTGCCAAACAGATCGGCACTGGCCATGGTAAACCTCTGGCAATGTCAGAGCTTAAGGAAAGCAGAAATTCTTCATAGCCCTGGAAAGAGAGCTTCCTGTAGAGTTAGGTATAGCAACCAGTCCTGTTGGGTGAGTGGCCTAGCCCTCCCCTAGGGCTGGAGCTGTAGAAAGTAGTTAACTGCCAACGCAATAGCCAGTATCACCTCCCTCCAGGCTAGGAACCCCACTCAGCCCAGCAGGCTCTGGGACATCTGCGGGAGATCACTATTCTAGCCTGCTTGCCAAGCTCCAGTGGAAAAGGAAGCCCTATCTGGGCTGGCCAGGGGCCAGAGCAGCTCACAAAGGCACTGTGCCTGGGTGCCAGCCTCGCCCTTAGCCCCTACAATTCAGCCCTCAGCTTCAAACACTGGGAAGATTATAGCAAGCCCTACCTGCCAGCAGTCAGTGACCTGCCTGAGACAGATTCCCAGGCTGGTTCCAGAGCTGGGTCTTAAGAGTCCTGGCAAGGAGAACAACCTTCCATTCTCTCAAATGGGCAGGCTGCCCAAGATAGCTGCCTAGGCCAGGCACAGACAGACCCAATGGCTACCAGCAAGGGGCCTCCTACCTGGGGAGGTTTGACTGGAAGGAAAAAGGTTGTCACATGTTACAGAGCTTCAGGGTCTCAGAGAGGAATTGATCAGGGGAGAAGAAAACCATCCTGGTTTTGAATAAAGGGGCTGGTTAGAAATTGTACTCCTGCCAGGCATGGTGGCTCACACCTGTAATCCCAGCACTTTGGGAGACCGAGGCGGGTGGATCACCTGAAGTCAGAAGTTTGAGACCAGCCTGACCAACATGCTGAAACCCTGTCTGTACTAAATACAAAAAAATTAGCTAAGCATGGTAGCACATGCCTAAAATCCCAGCTACTTGGGAGGCTGAGGCAGGAGAATCACTTGAACCTGGGAGGTGGAGGTTGCAGTGAGCCGAGATTGCACCATTGCACTCCAGCCTGGGCAACAATAGTGAAACTCAGTCTCAAAAAAAAAAAAAAAAGAAATTGTCCTCCTGACCCAGTCCACTTAGGAGGCAAGAGGAAGGAAGTTAATATATACTAAGGGCAAAACAATTTGCATAATTTAAATAATTACAACAAGCCTTCAAAGTTTATTCTTCCCACCTTACAGAGAAGGGAACTAAGGCTCAAAAAGACTTGCCCAGGGACCTGCTGGCCAGTAACTGGCAAACCTCAAGCTTGAACCCAGGACTCCGACAACCCAAACCTAGGATTTTCCACTCTAACATGCCACCACATGCATTCAGATGAGAGAATGGTTCCAGTTCCTTTAAAAACATAATAAGAGGCATTCAAAACAGCAGAGAAGAAAATAAAATACCTAGGCATACATTTATGGAGAAATATTTTAACACTATAAAACACCCTGAAATATGCGAAATACACTTGATCAACAGGAAGACATAGGATTCAACATAGGCCAGGCATAGTGGCTCATGCCTGTAATCCCAGCATTTTGGGAGCCGAGGTGGGCAGATCACCTGAGGTCAGGAGTTCGATATCAGCCTGGCCAGCATGGCAAAACCCCATCTCTACCAAAAATACAAAAATTAGCTGAGCATGGTGGCACACGCCTGTAATCCCAGCTACTCAGGAGGCTGAGGCACAAGAATCACTTCAACATGGGAGCAGAGGTTGCAGTGAGCCAAGATCGTGCCACTGCATTCCAGCCTGGGCAACACAGTGAGACCCTGTCTCAAAAAAAAAAAAAAAAAAAAAAACAGGGTAAGAAAAAAAAAAAAAAAGATTCAACATTATAATAATAGCAGTTCTCCCTAAGCTAATTTAATTTATATATCTAACATCACTCCAGTGAATGTAGTCTTAGTATTTGAGAATGATGGAGAAAAATAGATAATATTATAATAAAATATATTTGGAAGCACAAATAAGCAAAAGTAGCCATGAAAATCGTGAAACAAGAGGAAAATAGGAAGGGGTTAGACATAGAAGATATGCCATCAATTTCTAACACATTTTAGGGGCCTCTCAAGGGAACAGAGAAGGAATAGAACACAGAGCCCTGTCACTACTACCTCCAAATTTTCTCAACTGTGTCACCTTTCTCCATCCCCGCTGCTACCTCCCTAGTTTCACTGGTGTACATCCTCATCTGCCTTCATTCTCTCCCTCCCATTTCTACTGTAACCATACTAGCTTTCTTGCCATTTCTCAAATGTGGCAAGCTCCTAGTCATCTTAAGACCTCTGCATGTGCTTCTCTCTCTTCCTGGAATGTCCATCATACCCTTCACCCGGCTAACTTCAACTCTCCCTCCAGGTTGCAGCTTAAATGTCACTCCAGACATGCCATCCTCAACCACCCAATCCAATGTGAGTTCTCGGCCAGGCACGGTAGCTCACGCCAGCCTTTGGGAGGCCAAGGCAGGTGGATTACTTGAGGCCAGGAGTATGAGACCAACCCAGCCAACATGGTGAGACCCCATCTCTCCTAAAAATACAAAAATTAGCCAGGTGGGGTGGCATGTGCCTGTAATCCCAGCTACTCGGGAGGCTGAGGCAGGAGAATGGTGTGAACCCGGGAGGCGGAGCTTGCAGTGAGCTGAGATCCGGCCACTGCACTCCAGCCTGGGAGACAGAGCAAGACTCCGTCTCAAAAAAAAAAAAAAAAAGTAAAAAAAAGAATATCAGGAGCAAATGAGTGGGGAAATGTGTGCCGCCTTCCGTAGGCATCAAGATTCTTTTTTTTTTTTTTTTTTTTTTTGCCATCTCTGCAGATTCTCAGGCTAAGATTTTAACAGAACAGAGAATATCACAACTGATTATGGGAACTAGGAATTACCCAATGGTTTTCTTTTTTTTTTTTTTCTTTTGAGACCGAGTCTCTGTTGCCCAGGCTGGAGTGCACTGGTGCGATCTCAGTTCACTACAAACTCCACCTCCCGGGTTCACACCATTCTCCTGCCTCAGCCTCCTGAGTAGCTGGGACTACAGGTGCCCTCCACCATGCCTGGCTAATTTTTTTGTATTTTTAGTAGTGACGGGGTTTCACCGTGATAGCCAGGCTGGTCTTGATCTCCTGACCTCGTGATCAGCCTGCTTCAGCCTCCCAAAGTGCTGGGATTACAGGCGTGAGCCACCACGCCCGGCTACCCAACGGTTTTCAAAGCGGTCTGCAAATGAGGGTAAGTCCAGGTTGCCCTTCTGGCACCCTTCTCTCTCTGCCCATGTCACATACCACAAATCATCGTGGCTTGTGCACATTTTGTATATCTTTTTTTTTTTTTTTAAGTTCTCAGAATATAGCAGGCACAAGTGTTTTCAAAGCAAAGTAAAACCAGCAAGTTGATATGTGCATATTTGAGAAATAAATAAGCAGACCAAACAGACCATGAGGTGTGGGGACAGCGTTTCTTACCCGGCTTCTGTTTAGAGATTGGGACTACACAGCTCTTGTTGCAGCCAAACGTGCAGCATTTCTTTACACCTGGACATGTCTCATCAGTGATGCACCTTTTCAAACAGGATTGTTTCCGAATAACCCTGGGGCAATCTCTTTTCCTCCCTATAGCAAAAAGGGAGACAGCCAAAGAAAAGAGAAAATAGGCCCAGCGCCGTGGCTCACACCTGTAATCCCAGCACTTCGGGAGGCCAAGGTGGGCAGATCACCTGAGGTCAGGAGTTCGAGAACAGCCTGGCCAACATGGAGAAACCCAGTCTCTACTAAAAGTACAAAATTAGTTGGGCGTGGTGGCACATGCCTGTAATCCCAGCTACTTGGGAGGCTGAGGCAGGAGAACCACTTGAACCCGGGAGGCGGAGGTTGTGGTGAGCCGAGATCACTCCACTGCACTCCAGGCTGGGCAACAAGAACGAAACTCTGTCTCAAAAAAAAAAGAGAGAGAGAGAGAGAAAATAGTGCCTGGTAACACCCACGGGCACAGCAGAGGGGAAAAACAGAAAAAGGAAGCCCTGAGCTTCATTTAAGCCTCTCAACCCTGGTGTTAAGACAAAGACACTGCCGGGCGCAGTGGCTCACGCCTGTAATCCCAGCACTTTGGGAGGCCGAGGCGGGCGGATCACAAGGTCAGGAGATCGAGACCACGGTGAAACCCTGTCTCTACTAAAAATACAAAAAATTAGCCGGGCGCGGTGGCGGGCGCCTGTAGTCCCAGCTACTCAGGAGGCTGAGGCAGGAGAATGGCGTAAACCCAGGAGGCGGAGCTTGCAGTGAGCCGAGATCGCGCCACTGCACTCCAGCCTGGGCGACAGAGCGAGACTCCGTCTCAAAAAACAAAAACAAACAAACAAAAAAAAAGACAAAGAGACAATAATAACAACAATAGTAATAGCAAATATTTACTGTAACATTTATTGATGTTTACCTTGCGCCATGAACATCTCATTTGATCCTCACAATTACCCCCATTTTATAGATGAGGAAACTGAGGCTAAAAGCTTAAGATTTATAAAGAGCTAAGGCTTAAGGCTTAAAAAGGTCTGCTTGGCTCTAGGGTCAACTTTCTTAATCATTATCTTAAACAGGCTTCCCTTTACAACTCTTCCCTCCAGCCTTCACAGGAACTTTGAGTCGAAAGTAAAAGACATAGATAATCGATGGTGTGTTCTTTCCTGACAACTGGGGGCACTGAATAATTCTGAATAGTTAAAGGAGGAGGAACCCTAAAAGAGTAAAGAAGAAGTACTCTAGGCAAGCGAGACTTCAAGAGGCAACCTAGGAGGTGGGAAGCTCTCTGCTTCCATCTATCCCAGAGGCAATGTCAGAGAGTACGCCCAGATTTTGCCCCTCATGCCAACATACCCTTAGGAATGTCTCGGCAGATCCGACCACAGCCTGTGGTGCAGCACTTCTGCCCAGCCAGACACAATTCATCGCCCTGGCACAGCTCTTTGCATGGGTTCTTATCAGGAGGGCATTCTCCCTCTTTTGCTGCAAAAGATATCATGTGAGTTTGGGGTAACTAGCCAGGCCTCAAAAATGGGGAATGGAGGCCAAACATATTTCAAGGATCTTCAGCCCCTCCAGGCATCTCTATCCAAAATATTTCTGCACCACTGCCCTCTAGCCTGGGTGACAGAATGAGACTCTGTCTCTTAAAAAAAAAAAAAAAAATTCTGCAACCACCTTCCCCTCCTAATACACAAATACTAACATACATCCACCACTACTAAAGGAGCAGCCATCCCGCAGATAACGAGAGAGAAAGGTTGGGATGATCCTGTTCTCATTTAATGAGTTCTAGGGAAAAGCTAGAACCTCTAGTAAGCCCAACTGGAAGTCTTATCTCCTTGTCCAGAGAGGGTAAAGAAAGCCAGGAAGAACGACCCAGGCCATCCTGAGAATCTATTCATCCAGTCCTGTCCTACAGAGATGATCATCTCCACCTACGAGCAACCTTGCTCTGGCAGAAGGCAGGGGATGACTTCTCTCCTCTAGTCACTTTCTGTTACTCTTGGCCAGGGATCCCAAATGATAGCTCACCATGTTCTCCCGCAGTTATCCAGGATTCCAGGGACCCAAGAGCAAGAAGTGCCTTCACAAGAAAGAGGCAGCTTAACATCATGATGATGCTGAGAGTTGGGATGAGAGCTTAGTTCAGGCTAGAGTTGTACACCTTGCCCAGAGTATCAGCTGAGGTATGGGCAGGACTAGGGATGGCCCCAAACCCAGTCCCAAAGCCTTCCCTTTCACAATACTATCAAGAATATCTTCTCCTGACAAGAGGAAGAGGGATTGGCTGCTGGAGTGTGGGGAAATTCCTGGCACTTCCAAAGGGCACATGTGATAGGAGGATCAAACTCTATAAGCAATATACACAATATTCCTGGATGATGAGAAACCTAGTGGGTGGCTGGAAAAATGGAAGGACGGCCATTGGAAAAAGAATCAAAGAGTGCCCTAAAGGGCATTGGAAGGACCTGGCTTTAGCCCAAATGACAGAGGGAGGGACTCATGACACTGCTTAAGAAAATAGCCAAAGCTAATAACATAACCAAGCATAACAAAATTGTTCATCCTAGCAACCCAGAAAAGACAGAATGGAACAGACCACTCAGAAACTATCAAACAGGCCAAGGTGGGCAGATCACCTGAGGTCAGGAGATCGAGACCAGCCTGGCCAACATGGCAAAACCCTGTATCTACTAAAAATACAAAAATCAGCTAGGCGTGGTGGCACATGCCTGTAATCTCAGCTACTTGGGAGGCTGAGGCAGGAGAATAGCTTAAACCCAGGAAGCAGAGGTTACAGTGAGTGGAGATCATGCCACTGCACTCCAGTTTGGGTAACAGAGTGAGACTCTGTCTCAAAAAAAAAGGCGGGGGGAGAAACTATCAAAAACCTACAGAGGCCGGGCACGGTGGCTCAAGCCTGTAATCCCAGCACTTTGGGAGGCCGAGATGGGCGGATCACGAGGTCAGGAGATCGAGACCATCCTGGCTAACACGGTGAAACCCCATCTCTACTAAAAAATACAAAAAACTAGCCGGGCGAGGAGGCGGGCGCCTGTGGTCCCAGCTACTCGGGAGGCTGAGGCAGGAGAATGGCGTGAACCCGGGAGGCGGAGCTTGCAGTGAGCTGAGATCTGGCCACTGCACTCCAGCCTGGGCGACAGAGCCAGACTCAGTCTCAAAAAAAAATAAATAAATAAATACAAAAACCTACAGAAAGGCAGTAGTTGAGTTTGTTAAGAACTAATGAAAAAGCACCAAACACCTACATCTTTGTCCCTCTAGCCCACACAGGCCATTCTTGGACTGTATGAAGGCTAGCTGGCAGAACTCAAGAGAACAGTTGCTATGTATGACTCAGATAGTCTGCCTACATATACCACCTTTATTTCTTTTTCCTCTATTTCTTTTTTTCTTTATCTGTCCTGTTTATGCCTTTGGTCAGCTGTGATACCCAATGGTGTCCACTGGCACTGCTTAGTCCTATGGGCAGGTACAAGGTTAAAACCTCCCTAATAGGATGAAAAAGTTTGGAGCCAGGAAGTTGCCCTTATTGTTATAAGATTGATGTTGGCTCATGGAGATAATTAACATTTGTTGATGGCCTAACGTGTGCCTAATATGCTTTTTTTTTTTTTTTTTTTGGGGGGGGGGACAGAGTCTCCCTCTGTCCTCCAGGCTGGAGTGCAGTGGCGCGATCTCGGCTCACTGCACAATCTCGGCATAATTAACATTTGATGACGACCTAACATGTGCCTAATACGCCTGTTTTTTTTGCTTTTTTTGTTTTTTTGAAACAGTCTCCCTCTGTCGCCCAGGCTGGAGTGCAGTGGCGTGATCTCGGCCCACTGCAACCTCCGCCTCCTGGGTTCAAGAGATTCTCCTGCCTCAGCCTCCTGAGTAGCTGGGATTACAGGCGCCCAACATCAGGCCCGGCTAATTTTTGTATTTTTAGTAGAGACGGGGTTTCGCCATGTTGGCCAGGCTGGTCTCGAACTCCTGATTGCAAGTGATCCTCCCGCCTCGGCCTCCCAAAGTGCTGGGATTACAGGCATGAGCCACCGCCCCTGGCAGAGCATATTAAAATCTAGTCTTCAAACACTGAACTGCAGGCGTCGCTGCACCAAACACTTCCCTCTGCTCCCCAACCCCAGCCTACAGAAACCAGCTCCCCTCCTCCTACCCCGCAGTCATCCACAGGCCTTGGCCCAGCGGGAAACGTCCCTTGACTGAACCGCCACTGAACACCCACACTCCACAATCGAGGGGCAGCCCTCCCGAGAGGAAGCCCCAACGACCTCCAACCACAAGGCCTCTAAGTGTAACTGTCCCGGGCGAGGCGCGGCGGTTCGGTTCCCATGGTAACCCCGCAGCTCCTGCGTCGCGCTTCCGGGCGGACGAGCAGCGCGCCTCAGTGACGTCACGGCGCCACTTTCCGGCCGGTGGCAGAGTCCGGCGAAGTTGTGGTGGCCTGGGGCGCCATGGGAGCCACTGGCGACGCCGAGCAGCCGCGGGGACCCAGCGGGGCCGAGCGGGGCGGCTTGGAGCTGGGGGATGCAGGCGCAGCGGGGCAGCTGATTCTCACGGTGAGGGCGCCCCCGGTGAGGTCTGGGCTCGGGCCGGGCAGGGCCTCGGGGCTCCCGGGACCCTGGCCCGCGGGCGAGAACGCGGCGGCTGCAGCTGCAGAGGGGGTTGGCGTTTTCGCAGCCCGACGACCTGGATTCAAATTCTGGTGCCGCCCTCCTAGCTAGGTGACGTGGGCCAGCTCTGTCGACCCCCTGAGTCCCCAGATCATCTTCTATAAAATGGAGATGATTAGTACCTGTCTCATAAAAGTTGTTGTGGGATGGGAAGATAAAGGCGGGTACAGCGCCCAGGACATCACCTGACACAGAGTTGACCCTCGGTAAACACTGCTTCCCTTCCTCCTGCCGTGCCAGAAGGCAGGGTCGGGACTTTTAAGGCAGGAAACTTCCTCAGTTCCTCTTTTGTGGAGGGGGCCTTCCAACTGTTGTCCTCCCCCGATACCCCAAGGCGGGAGAGATGGTGACGGATCTGAGAAGCAGGAATGTTTAGGTTTAACTTCATACCCACCCTCCACCTCCACCCCACGCCAGTGTCACAGGCCGCAGTGACATTTGTTCCGTTGGTCCCCACAGAACCCTTGGAACATAATGATAAAGCACCGGCAGGTGCAGCGGAGGGGCCGCCGCTCACAGATGACAACAAGGTAAGGCTGGCCCTGCATGGGACTTGTATCCCAGCCACTGGCTTGCATGGCAGCTTTGGGATCCCCAGTGCACAAGACTATGGAGATCTACAGCCTGTAGAAAGAGCACAGGACTGAGAAAGAGGAGACTCCGATCCTGTAACTCTGTGTGATCTTGAGCTAGTCAAGTCACTTCCTTCTCTGAACTCACGAAATGGGGAAGGGCACAGGAGATGGGTTGGGGAATAAAAAATACCTAAGACCCCTCACATTCACTGGCTCTGTGATTGAGGGCTCTTAAGAGGTCAGTTAGCATGGAGTTTAAGAGCACGGGCTCTGGAGTCAGACAACTGTGTTCTCATGCAGCCTCTGATGAGCCCCTGTTTTCTCAACTATAAAGACGGATTAATAGTATCCATCTCAGGGAAGGGAGAGAGCACAAGGTGGGCCTTTGGGATGCTGGTAGTGGTGAAATGGATGTTCACTGTAATTACTCATTAAAGTGTATAGACTTTTCTGTATAATAAGTATTATATTTCATAAAAACACTTTGGGCCGGGCGCAGTGGCTCACGCCTGTAATCCCAGCACTTTGGGAGTCTGAGGTGGGCGGATCACCTGAGGTCAGGACTTTGAGAACAGCCTGACCAACATGGAGAAACCCTGTCTCTACTAAAAATACAAAAAGATGGCCGGGTGCAGTGGCTCACGCCTGTAATCCCAGCACTTTGGGGATCTGAGGCGGGCAGATCACCTGAGGTTGGGAGTTTGAGACCAGCCTGACCAAAATGGAGAAACCCGGTCTCTACTAAAAATACAAAAATTAGCTGGGTGTGGTGGTGCACACCTGTAATCCCAGCTACTCGGGAGGCTGAGGCAGGAAAATTGCTTGAACGCAGGAGGCGGAGGTTGCAGTGAGCCAAAACCACACCACTGCACTCCAGCCTGGGCAACAGAGTGAGACTCCGTCCAAAAAAAAAAAACTTTGAAAATAATACCCACTTCATAGAGTTATGAGAATGAAATAAAGTCATGCCTTTGTGATTTGAACAAAATCTGAGCATGTAGCTAGTTTTCAGTAAAAGTTGTCTAGTATTGTTAAAGAATTCTATGTCCATAATTGACTGGGCAGGGTGAGAAAGAATATGTTTCGGACATGCCCCCTCACCCTGTCTCCCTCCTGAATGCAGTTTCACAGATCCTGCCATCTCTATGGATCTCCTCCGAGCTGTCCTGCAGCCTAGCATCAATGAGGAGATCCAGACTGTCTTCAACAAGTACATGAAGGTGAGAGGGACACAGGATAAAAAATAACGGGAAAGACTCACGAGGAGCCCAGTCCTTCCTTGCATCACCAGTCCGTCTCTTTCCTACACACAGATATCTAAAGTTTTCCTTTTTTTTTTTTGTTTTTTTGTTTGTTTTGTTTTGTGTTTTTGAGACAGAGTTTCACTCTGTCACCCAGGCTGGAGTGCAGTGGCATGATATCGATTCAGTGCAACCTCCACTTCCCAGGTTCCAGCGATTCTCATGCCTCAGCCTCCCTAGTAGCCAGGATTACAAGCGCCCACCACCACACACAGCGAATTTTTGTATTTTTAGTAGAGACGGGGTTTCACTGTTGACCAGGCTGGTCTCAAACTCCTGACCTCAAGTGATCTGCCCGCCCACCTTGGCCTCCCAAAGTGCTGAGATTATAGGTGTGAGCCAGCGCGCCCGGCCAGCTTTCAAATTTTTAATCCCCCAAGAATTTTATCCCTTCCTTGAGGGTAATTCAGATATCTTTTTTTTTTTTTAATCTGCCCTTGTCACTCACTGTCACGTTTTTGTTTTTGTTTTTTTTGCTGACTTCTTGTAAGGATGAAATGACTTAAATGTACTGTGCTGAGCACTGCACTTAGGACATAACAAGTGTCCAGTAAGTACTTCTATTAGTTGTTTAATAATATCACCATTATTGGGGCCATGCACAATGGCTCACACCTGCAACCCCAGCACTTTGGGAGGCCGAGGCAGAATCACTTGAGGCCAGGAGTTTGAGACCAGCCTGGGCAACATAGTGGGACCTCATCTCTACTACAAAAAAAAAAAAAAAATTTATTAGCCAGGCATGGTAGTGCGTGCCTGTAGTCCCAGCTACTCAGAAGGCTCAGGCGAGAGGATCACTTGAGCCCAGGAGTTTGGGTTTGTAGTGAGCTATGATCATACCACTACACTCCAACCTGAGTGACAGTGAGGGCCTTTCTCGAAAAATATATGTAGATAAATAAAGTTGCCATTATTATTATTATTTACGGGTTTTTTCCCTGGCCTATAAATAAATTTCCACATGACTTTACTTAAATGTACCAAAAGAGGATGCTTTAAACTCAGTATGTTCAGAACTGAACTCTTTGTTTTTCTTCCTAAATCTCCTCCTCTTACATTTATTCATTTATGTAAGAAGTATTTATTTACCGGGCGCTGTGGCTCACACCTGTAATCCCAACACTTTGGGAGGCCGAGGCAGGTGGATCACCTGAGGTCAGGAGTTCGAGACCAGCCTGACACAACATGCTGAAACCCCATCTCTACTAAATACAAAAAATTAGTCAGGCGTGGTGACACATACCTGTAATCCCAGCTACTCGGGATGCTGAGGCATGAGAATCTTGAACCTGGGAGGCAGAGGTTGCAGTGAGCTGAGATTGCACCATTGTACTCCAGCCTGGGCAACAAGAGCAAAACTCCCTCTCAAAATAAAAAGTATTTATTGAATGACTACTATACTACCAGGCACTATTCTAGTCACTGGGGATGTAGCAGTAAACAGAACATATGCTCTCTGTAAACAAATATGTGCTGTGTTAGAGAAAGAGAGAAGACAGGGGAAAGAGAGCAACCAGTAGAGAGTAGGGTTGCTGTTTTATAGATTGTGGCTAGGAAAGCCTTTGATAGAGGACATTTGAGTGGAGACCTGAATAAGTGAGGAAAAAGCAAACCATGAAGATACTTGGGGAAGAAGCAGTCCAGTTGCAGAGGAAATGGTAGAGGCTCTGAGACAGGAGTGTGCTTGGCACATCAAAGCAATGAATAGGCCAGTGTGACTAGAGGAAAATAAGCCAGGCGAGTAATAGGACAGATTTTTTTTTTTTTTTTTTTTTTTTTGAGACAGAGTCTTGCTCTGTCACCCAGGGTGGAGTGCAGTGGTAAGATCTTGGCTCACTGCAACCTCCACCTCTGAAGTTCAAGCAATTCCTGCACCTCAGCCATCTGAGTAGCTAGGATTGCAAGTGTGTACCACCATGCCTGGCTGATTTTTGTGTTTTTAGTAGAGACAGGGTTTCGCTATGTTGGCCAGGCTGGTCTTGAACTCCTGGCCTCCAGTGATCCATCTACCTTGGCCTCCCAAAGTGCTGGGATTACAGGTGCGAGCCACCATACCCCACCTTTTTTTTTTTTTTTTTTTTTTTTTGTGGCAGAGTTTTGCTCTTGTTGCCCAGGCTAGAGTGCAGTGGCGCAATCTCGGCTTACTGCAACCTCCGCCTCCCAGGTTAAAGTGCTTCTCCTGCCTCAGCCTCCCAAGTAGCTGGGATTACAGGCATGCAACACCACACCCAGCTACTTTTGTACTTTCAGTAGAGATGGGGTTTCTCCATGTTGGTCAGGCTGGTCTCAAACTCCCGACCTCAGGTGATCCTCCTGCCTCAGCTTCCCAAGGTGCTGGGATTACAGGCATGAGCCACTGTGCCTGGCCAGTACAGATATGTTTAACAATATAGCCAGAAGTCACTAAAACTCACCTCCCAGAGATACCAAATTGTTAACGTTGACTATATAGTCTCCCAGGTTTATTTGTGGTATGTGTGTGTGCATATGCATTAAAAAAAAGAAATCATTTTACACACAACTGTTCTGCAACTTGATTTATTTTACTTGGCATACTTTTGTTTTGTTTTGTTTTGAGATGGATTCTACCTCTGTCACCCAGGCTGGAGTACAGTGGCACAATCTTGGCCCACTGCAACCCCCACCTCCAAGCTTCAAGTGATCATCCTGCTTCAGCCTCTCAAGTAGCTGGGATTATAAGTGTGCACCACCACACCCAGCTAATTTTTTTGTATTTTTAGTAGAGACGAGGTTTCACCATGTTGGCCAGGCTGGTCT